TTAAAACTTTGATACCATTCAAATAAAATATAACGTGAACAATACCTGTGTTGATACCACAACAACTGATTTAGAAATCCTTGTTACCCAACACAGGATAATTTCCTCTCACTCTGAAAATGTAGCAGCTCTCTCTCTCTCTCTCTCTCTCTCTCTCTCTCTCTCTCTCTCGCTCTCTCGCGCGCTTCTCCTGCGGCAGCTTTTTAAAGTTAAGAATGGTACCAAAACAACCGATCCGTACCGTCCTACTTTTTTTGCTTTCTTTCTGTTAGTGTGCCAAGCGTACTGATCTAGCTAGCCACACTGCAGTCCGCTGATTGGTCGAAAGAATCGTCACTTCCCGGGCAACAGTGGTAATAACACAAATTGCGCTATGTTTAAATATCACTTTGATATTAAGGCTGTTTTTTTTCTGTGTGTGTGACTAATCTCAGCATGTAGCTCCGCCCCATTTACGACCTCAGAGGTGCAGACCTCTGCTGGACATCCTCCATTGTTGCCCTGCGTTTACTGTGTTGCGTTCTTCTTCTTCTGCGTTGTTATTATGTCACAGTGTTACAAAGCTGAGTGTAAGCAGGATGACGATGGCTCAACGCAAGCAAAATCAGGGTTAACCGTACCAAATTGTACTGGACCAAACCAGACCGCCTGATGTAAACGGGGCTTAACTGGAGTGGAATAATCTGCAGATGTTATTAATGCAATGCAAAATAAACAGTTAAAGGAGTTTCATGTTTATGATTGATCTCTTTTAAGCCACGCCGATTTGTGCCTACATTAGCACTTGTCTCTATAGGTGCTCAGCTAGCTTTAGCTTAGCATGACTTCAGCGTAGAACTTTAGATATAAAATGTGCAGATGTCTCCTTCTTTTCCAAACAAACAGATCCAGGGATTTAAGCCAGAGTTTAAGGTAAAAAGTGTCCCTTAAAGGCTGCTTCTTGAGCGTAACGAGAGATTACTTTCTGACTCTCTTGCTCTTCTGTGACGCTCTTTTCTCTTTCATAGAAGACGTCTACTTTCTCCTCCTGCAGCTCAAACGATGCTCTGCAGCCTGTAGTGGGCGTGTTCTTCTTTGGAAGCAGAAAATTGCAGACTCACTGGCTGTCGTCGCTGTTTTCTGATGCCTTGATGGGCTATTTGATCCGTCCATATCGAGTATCACTATTATCGACAAATTCTATCTCGTTTTCGTTTTTGAGACAGTTTATATGGTCGAGCCCTGTGTCTCTGCAGGTCTCTGCAGGCGGTTTTAGCAGAATGATTAGTGCTGTGAGGACACCTGGTTTGTCGCTGTAGTGGCCGATCGGGCTGCAAAGCGAAGTGGCACTGGGCTGGAGCACGGGAACACAGCGGCACCAGGCCAGAACAGATGGCCACAAGTTTCACTGTCAACACAGCACAGTGGCAGGCCGGAGTGCAGATAACACCTCTGTCTAATAATAAAAAATCCCCCGTTCCCTAGGTGACCCCTCCAGCGCCTGCAGCCTTTTTAATTACATGTGAGAGAGAGGGAGAGAGAGCGAGAGAAAGAGAGACGGGATAGAGATGTTGTTAAAGCGTCAGCTCTGTTTTCCCCCTCCTCCCTCTCTCTCTCTCTCTCTCTCTCTCTCCCTCTCTCTCTCTCTCTCTCCCTCCCTCTCTGACTGGTGACTCATCCTCACCATACGGCAGGCTGGATTCATGGGCTACCTTCGAGCTTTAACATTTAATCGCTCCGGCCTCAAACAGGAATGCATTTCTGATTCTTACATACATGTATGTGATGTAACTGAAGTAATCATGTAGCTAAGTGAATCTGCAAGCCCCGCCCCCTAATGATTCCAGTAAAATGTCGTCGAGTGGCGTTGAACAGGACACTTAGTTTCTGACTCATCGTGCTGAAAATTTGATATCATCATGAAAGATAAATCTTTCTTGCAGCTTGAATAAACCTCTCTTGGGATTTTATGACCTTTAGCAAGCTTCCTGCCATCCCCTCCTCCACGTCAGTTTGATTTATAAACAAGAACATTCATAGCCATGCATGCTCTTTTTTTCTGCAGACATAAATGTAAAAGTTTGGCTCTTCAGGATCCCGACATGACCCAATATTTAGTGCCAAGAATCAAATGTATTTGCATATCGTTTGATATTTTACCATAATCATATCAGAGTTTAGCATTTAAGTCAGAGTGAGCTGATGTGAGAATGCAGCAGGATATAATCACCTGCATGTGTGAAAAGAGCTCAAATGAGCAGACAATAAAAGATCAGCATGACTCTGCTGTTCGTCTGACACTTCCACATCGTTGGTTGCCTCTTCGACACTGCTGCCCTTGTCTACAAAGTCTTCTTTAAGCAGAACAATTTTTATTTCTCTCAGTTGTTATTGCCTTCAGTTTAAAGCTCTTCTGTTCAAACATGTTAAGTTATCGGGAATTAAAAACCAGCCCAGCATTAGGAGTCTGGATGAAGTCGGAGAGAGTGGCAGGAGAAGTGGGTGACTGGACATGTTTTTGTTTGCTTTGTCTCTCTTCCTCCTCTCTGACTCTGACTCGGTGCTCAGACACTTCTCACTTTAATGCAGCAGGACTGGAAGAGAAAGTGGGTCAGGAGGAGGAAGCTTCTGCAGACTTGGCCTGGCTAGTGTTGACTTTTTGATGAGTGTTGTGCTGTGGAGGGTTTCTGAGGGTGTGTTGAGAGGGGGATTTTTAAAGGTTTATGATTGTTTTGGACACGTAAAGGAGGTGCACAATACAACTTTAACCTTTGAGTATTCTCATTTATCTCTTGTTCTATCTAGAGGTGGAGTCAGCAGCTTGTTCCTTCAAAATAAAATACAGACTTCTCCTAAAGTAAAGCTGCTCCATCGTCTCTTCTGGGCCTCCATACATGTGTGGTGGTGACTGTGTCTGCAGAGACTCTGTCCTCTGACTGGATTTTACTGTTCTGCTTTGTTCTGGTTGACTCTGGACGTTTCTGGGCGGAGCTGGTGTGTTTCCTCCAGCCAATGACAGCGCAGCAGGTGAGTTTATGGACGTGGACGTAGAGAAAGTATAATCACAATGAGGAGAAACACCAAGCGGATAAAGCTGGTTCTAAAACGAGGGTGAACCTTGTGTTGTCTTTTACCCGTGGACGTGGAGTTGGTCTGCTTCCTGTTGGACTGGCAGGTGACAAACACCGGCGGTTAGCTTGTGTTAGCGTGAGTTAGCTTGCAGTGTAGTAGCAGTAAACGTACATACTACGTCCTGCAGTGGGCGTGGCTTCTGGGGGAGGAGGGGCCCAGTTTGAATGTTGTGTTAACAAAGATTTCTACTGATTCCTCCTTTTAATCTGGCTGTGGTTCATGAGACAGAGCGGATCCTAGAGGTAGTTCTTCTGTAGTCGGTTGAAGGTAAATGTGTGTGAGGAGATTTATTTAAAGAATGGTTAAACAGGATGAACAGATGGCAGTGAGTCACTGTGATGTGCAGCAGCTCGCTGACTAAAGACATTTTACTGCTACATGACTTCTCAAACATCTGTGCCCTGTCACCATGCAGGAAGAATGAAACCCCATAAAGCTGACAATCAGAACTGTGATTTAGCAACACTTTGGTTTCCCTTAAAGACGAGGGACGGAGCCGCTCTCCTTCCATTGATTGAATCAGTCATTCTTATCAAACCTGCAGGACACAAATAACAGACACGGCCCTGAAATAAAGAACACTAACTGTCACAGGAAATACGTCCAGAGATCCGACTGCACTTGTTTGATTTATTAAAGGAACCATGTTACAAAAGACTCGACCTGATGAGCATCACAGAGGAAGAAGTTCACGGCCTGGAATGTGTCGGGTCCTAAAATAGACCCAATAAATCTGGCTGTGAAGATTAAGTCTGGAGATATTTACCGCTCTTAGAGGTTTATGTTGTTGGGAAAGATAATGTTGGTACCCGTCTTACTGAACGTCATGTTTAGAAATGTTTCAAATATCTTTTTATTTTATTGACACTGATTGAGTTGTCTTGATTCAAGCTGAAGTTATAATCATATATTTATTGAATCTGTCTTCAGTGAGTTGACCTAACGTTGTCCGGACAGCCCGTTTATACTCGTCATCTTCCGCTACATCTAGAATGAAGTAGGAACAAAGACAACACACAAGACAGTTTCTCCTGACTTTGACTTATTTATATTTATTTTCCTTCAGCTCCTTTGTTTCCCTTCATAAAGACACATTCCATCTTTCCTCTGCTCTGCTGCGTCCTTCATACTGACGACGTCTCAACAATTTTACTTTCACTCTTTCATACTGATCCTTACTCATCTCATCGTCAGGAAGTTAAACGTGGTTATTATTGGTGTGTTCCACTTGATCTCAGAAGTAAAAAAAAAAATCCAAGTTGCCGGTTTGATACGTCATCAGGAGCGCCCCCCCTGAAGTCGGAAATTTGACTTAGAAACTTGGAGTTAAAATCCAACATGGCTGCTGCGTGCATCAACAGTAATGTTTAAGTGTTAGCATTTTGCCTCTATTAGAGAGGACAGCTGAAGAGAGACAGAAAATGTTGGGAGGAGAGTTAGGGGATGACATAAAGCAAAGGGCCGAGGTCGGATTCGAACTAACGGCCGCTGCGCTGAGGACTATAGCCTAGGCTATCAGCGCTCCAGCAGCTTAGTCCTTCAGTGTAATCAAATCAATCCCACCGATAGTATCGTCTGTCAGTGGACATGTTGTTGTGTTATTAATGTGGACAAACTATCCCGTCCTGTGTTGTTATCATCCAGTATTAGCTAACAGAACAAACATACTCCTGGAGGCAACATACTAGCTTACACAAAGTATAACTGGACCTGACCCTTATGAAAAACAACAAAATGTTGTTATCTTCATCACACTGCAGACCAGAGAGAAGAATCCAAACACACTTGGAAATCAAACGTTAGAGCAGTGAGAGCTGCTTTGTCCTCCATGTTTTCATCCCTTCATGCTGCTTTCAGTCACTGATCTGTTTCCTTCCTCTCATCCTCAGACTCTGCAGCCTCACTCTGAAGAAGCTGGTCGTCCTCAAAGAACTGGATAAAGAGCTCAACTCTTTGAGTATAGCTGTCAAAATACAGGTGGGTGTTTTTATCTCCTCTCTGTGGACGGAGTCTGCTGCTCACTGTTTCACTATTTTGGCAGAGGCTGACGTCTTTTGAACTTTATCAAGAAGCTATCAGTGGTGATAAGAAATGTTGTTAATCCTGATGGATATAAACCTCCTGAGCTGCGCAGGAAGCTCTTCTGAGCCACTTTCACTCCAGTGGTTTGAAGGCAGAGTATTAGCACTTTATGGTAAACTGTGCATCCAACATGGAGTACTCATTTGCATGTGTGTGTCATTAAGAGGTCCCTTAACAAAGAGGTTCAGAATCAGCTTTATTGGCCAGGTATGCTTAAACACACAGGAATTTTACTTTGGTAAACTGTGCTCTCTTTGTACAAAGGTATATATTAAATATCAACAATAAACACAAAAATAAACAAATAAGCAAAGACTAATATGTACAAGGCTAAATAGGTTTAGTGTCCAATCAGAGGGCAGTGTTGTTGAGTCATCCTCTTGGGGGTGGGGCCAGCAGCTGGGTAGCAGTGGCGGCTTCTGGGAACAGGTTATTATGATAGATGGGCAAAGGGACGTACGCCGCTGTGATCATCTTACCAGCAAAGTATCTTCTGTGTCGAGAGTTGACGGCGGCCTGTCATTCAAAATGCGTACTGCACGTGGTTACGTGGTGGTCACATTGCATATGATTCTATAGCTCATCCTCTACGTGTGAGATTCCCAAACACTGAATATGAAGATTTATTTTCTGAGTAGATGGAACTTGTTTGTTTCACTTTATTGTCAGCTTCCTCCGTCCGCTGTGCAGAGCGCCGGGATCAGGCGGTTTTATGTTTGTTGTGTTTCTTCCCCACCGTAACTGGAGCAACACATTACCGATCGACCGTCACCTCATCCGTCATGTGGAATTCAAAGTATTCCTCGAGCTCACAGCGAGCTATTTCAAAGGCAGGATAACGTTTCTCCTTCTGGGAACGGAGTTTGAGTGAGTGACAGGTTGTTGGCAGGATGCTGGAGGGGTGATGTCCCGCCCCTCTTCAGTGTCGTCGTATCTGTGTGTGTTTCTGTGTGAACCTGAAGGAGAAACATTCTAATATGGAGTAAAATAATGTGACGAGTGAAGAGCTTGATCTTGTTTACAAAGAGAAGAGTTGGTTGCAATCTGATGTAGGACATATGACACAATCATTGATTTAAATAGCATCATATGAATGGAAACTCACTCCTAGTTTCAGTTTAAATAGAATGCATAATGTGAAGATTAATGTGTAGACTCATGGTCAGAGGTCGTCTGTCGGTACACTCACTTCAGTCTGCAGACGGTCCTCGTCAAACGTCACCACCCCCTCCCACTCGCTCCAGGTGAATTCTCCTGATTATATCCTGCTGCGTTCTCACATCAGCTCACTCTGACTTTCGGCAGAATAAATACGAGGAGGCTGGAGGAGAAACTCTGAGTGAAGAGAGAAACATTCAGATGTTTGTGTTCTCACATCACGCTCCTCCGGCAGATATCAGGAGTTTTCTTCAAGTGTGAAAGAACTATAAAAATAAATAAATCAAACTGGCTCGTTACTTTAAATGGACGATGGAGTTGAGGATGGACGGTTTGCCTCTGTCCCTCATTCACTTTCAAACTGTTTTTAACATATGAGGTCTGTGACAGTGATTTAAACTGAGCATTAAAAAGCATGAAATGAAGGTTATATAACCTTAAAGCTGTTTGTCAAAGAGCCTTCAAACTTCAAACCCTTTTTTATCGACTCTTTCTTTTTTATCGCCCGCTCTGTTTGCTTCCATATCTCAGTAATGGGCCGAGTTTCTGTCCCGCTCTCAATACTGTCGCCCTCATTATAAAATGTAATTTAAATTTGATGCAATACGGGATGATTCTATTTAAAGGGAAACAAATCATCCTGCTTCACTGTCATCCTGAAGGAGAAAGTAACCAACCGAGTGCGGCGTTCTCCTTCAGCTTCGTCGTCTGCGGAGCGTGAAATCTCTCCGTTTCTGCTGAGCTGCCCTCAGGACAGCCAAGCAGAGCTCTGCTCACCGCCACTCCGGAACTGGAGCATTAAATGCAATTTCCAGCAGGTTTGGTTTGGGCGAAGAGAGCGGCTAAAGGGATGAAGAGACAGCAGGAGAACATGAGGGAGGGATAAGAGGGGTTTGTTTTCAGTCAGTGAATAACAAAGCCCTCATTACAGCGTGTCGTCGCTCTCTGCTCAGCATACAGCGGTCGCCTCTCCTCTCTCCGGGTCTCATCAGGCTGAGCGGCCTGCACGCACACATAACCCTTGTAATGGCTAACCATTTGGATCGTCTCCCAAAGCCGCAGCAGCAGGGAGGATGAGATTGCAGTTTGAGTCTCCAGGAGGCTCTCTGTTCCCGGGGAGATGATCGTCTGTCTCTCACCCTGGAGACCGCCGGGTCACTGCGAGCAGCTCCTCTACAGAAAACCCTCTGCTTCACAGTCTGGGCTTCATTGTTTTTATTCATCTGAAAAATAAGATTTCACATTTTAAACTCGCCTTTCTAAGTAGATGACAACAACAAAAACACGATCTCAACAATCTTCAAACCAAACGTCCTGCATCAAAATATCCAAGCATCTTCATCGTCTTAATCTCTTGGTCAGTAGTTTTTTTTTTAAAATTTTGAAGTCATTGCAACTTTTCATTGACAATAATGTCTCTTCTTAAACTCCAATATGACCTCAAAGATCAAACTTTATAAATACCAAAGGATATCTTTGTGCAGCGATAAGAGCAACCCATCTGAGTATTTAACACAAGTGAACTGTGAAGTATTAAAGGGTTAAATACAAAGAAACACGGCCTTAAAGAACAACAAATCTTTTTAATGCTGCTTTCACAAATCTAGTCTAGATGTCTGAAAAATATAATTCCTGCAAGATTATTTCACTCGTTCTGAATCAAACATAGTTTCCTCTCCTCTTTCTCTCTCCTCTGAAATGTTTTCACAGCAGATGTTTGGAAGCTGCATTCACCTGAGATATTTATTCACGTGCATCGTGTTTTTCCTTCTGCACATTCTCTCCTCTTCTGCACTTTGTGTGTCTGTGTGCGCTGCAGCCCGAGGTCGGAGCCAGACATGGATGTCAGCTGGATTATGATAGGAAAGGCGTGCAGTCCTCATTTCAGCGCGAGCCGCTGTCCAAAGCACTTCCATTTGCAGTACACTCAGATATGATCCAATTATGTTTGTGTAGATGTGTGTGTGTCTGTGTGAGTGTGTGTTGGGTGAAAAGCAGAAGCCTCAAAACGCCTTTAAAACCTCTCTAATACAATTGCAAGCTGAGCTCATGTCCTGAACCTAAATCACTCCCTGTCGCGTTTCTGCCAATTTAGAGAATTTAACGCATTTAAAAGAGTAACCTTGAGCGGAAGTGTGGAGTTGAACTTGTTTTCCCACAGGCCCACAGAGCTGCAGAGTTTAGGGGCCAAACACCCCCCTCCTTCATCCGGCCCCTGAGAGACAGTGGAGAAGCTTGTCACAGGGGAGGGAGGGGGGCAGAGGACATTCAGTACAAGCTTTCCCTGCCAAGGCTCGGCATTGTTAATGCATGTCAGGCAGTTTGAGAGTGCTCGGCTTTTGTGCTTGGATTCATTGTGAGCATGAGAAAAGAGTGCATTCAAGGCCTCGCTGTGCAGCTCGAGTTAGTGACGAGGTCAGACTCGGGAACAGATTCACCCGCTTCTTTGTATTCATGCACACATTGGAGTGTTAGTGAGCCGTCAGCAGGTCCTTCTCTGAACATATGGAGTCATTAAGCTGCACAGAAGAACGCTGAAAACACCTGAACACTCTGCAAGTGTCAGCGGAGACGAAGATTCAGTGTTCCTGTTCGTTCTTCAGAGCTGTGTTAAAGTTTCATTCCATGCACTTTAAATTATTGATGCTGCTCTAAGTGTTCTTTTGGAAAAGTTCTTCCCCTTCATGAGGTTGAACCGAGAGCTTTCTGTTCTCCTGATTTTACCTAACTCGTCGAGTGAGACTTTGAAGTTTGGTTGCAAAACGAGAAGTGAAAGGTGTGAATAATGCAGTCAGATCTTCAACAGATCAGTTGTTTCGGAAGGCGATGTAATGGCTGAATAATTAAAACATGACGTTAATACACACAAACGATATGTCGCATAAATACTTAACATATCAACGGTTTCAACTCTAAACTCGTTTGTTGTTTAACATGAGAATATCACAATGATGCTTTCACTACTTTTTCTACAAGTTTAAGACCGCCATGAGAAACAATAACACCTGAAGAGTTTTATTATGATAAGCCTGCAGTGAAAGCATTTCATTAGGTAAGCAGCTATCACTCCACCTGATTGTTTCCTGGATACAGAGAGTGAGTCGACCTCAGAACACGGTCATGTTCACTCCGCTGAGACGATGTGGCCGTGTGCATCCTACAATTCATTTATCAGACGCTTTTATCCAAAGAGACAAACATCAGGGAGTAAGAACAACACAAGCAAGGAGAAAGAGAGGAGGAGACAACGTCGGGAAGTGAAAAGAGACAGCTTTAAGTCTGATCGGACACACAGGTGCTGACAGGAAGTGACCAGAGGTGCTGACAGGAAGTGACCAGAGGCAGAGCACAACATCGACAGCTGTTCTTGAGAGTTCTACTCAGCATCAACACCATCCTTTGAACACGGTGTGATTGATCTGACCTCAGTGCTTCACCTGCACTTGGAGTTGTGTTCTTGTGATTGAATCAGGGCCGGACACCACAGTGACAGACGGCCTGCAGAGCTCCTGAAACACATTCAGTCAATAATATATTGTGATCATTTTTAGATGAGCATGTTATTGGATGTTGGAGAGCCTCTTAAGAAAAGCTTGGCAGTCCAAGAGCTCTCAAAGATCATCTTGACGGTTCATAAAAAGCTGTATTCAAGCTGTTGTTCAGTGAAAGGACGCTTGTTCAGGTCTGATGTTTTCTTATTGGATGTGCATTTTTGTTTGTAATTTATTAATACTCCTGTAAAGTCGTGTTTGATTTGATTCTAGTAAAAGTCCATCAGTATGGATACGTGTTTCGATACCATGGGAACAAAAATAGGAGTCCTAGACACCTGGGTCAGTTTGTGTTTTAGTCACCAAAAATTGTTGGCATGCAAACTTTTTAAATTGCACATGAACATTAGCAATGTTGCACACGCTTTTGTGATCATATACGTGTGACAGATGCTCGTATTTTACTCGTCTTCTTTGACTCGCTCATCGTTTCCTTGTTTTTTCTCTGCTCTGACTCGTCTTTGAGTTTGAAGGTGTGGTGAGAGCAGCTAATCAATAAAACAGCTGATGTGTTTCTTCATGCAACATGCATCAACACCGAGCTGTTTCTCTTTCGTGCGTCGGACAAACAGAAGCATCACTGCAGCTTGATTAGAGTCCACACCTCCTGGCATCCTGTGATGATCCCTCAGCACTCAGCCAACCGTTTCTGTTGCATGATTTATCAACGCTGATGACACTGGGATCAAATGTCGCACAGCTGACGATTAAAGAACACACCTTCCCTCCCCCCCTCCGCTTTAAAGCCAGATACAGGATATGTGCTCCATGCTGCTCACCACGTCTTACTTTATTGAATTGGCAGGTTATGCAGATACTAATCTGCCAAACCGATTGCACAACAGATGTCTGTCTTCAGCGCTCACAGTTTGACATGAAATCATCGACTCCAGACTTGACGAGCTGTTCACACTCTGATTCCATTTTGAGACTGTAAAAAAGCAGAGAGAGGAGCTTGAACTTCAGACTGCGATGACTTTAATCTAAGGCATGTAATAGAAACATGCTCATGACTTAGACAGGTCCTATGAGGACACCCTGTTTGTTGGTGTCCTACTATTTGGACGACACTTCCACAACCTGTGACATTTAAATCCCCGTGCTGTTTGGCCACACCGCCTTCGTGCCAACTCCTAGAATTAGCTCAGACGATGAGTCGCCCTTAACCGACACAAGTGTTAAATAAAAAAAGAAACTGCTCGTAGTTTTGAGTTGCAGCCTTGAAACAGGAGCTGTCAATTTCTGCATGAGATCCAACATCATGCAACATAAAACTGCAGTAGCTATAAATATGTCGGCTTTATTCAGGTGGCGGTCGGGGCTCCACCTGAACCAAACATTCCTCTCAGGTCACGATGCAAACCCTGGAAAGGTTTTTAAAGGATGCTGAAGAACGCAGCAGACAAGAAGACACTCTGACTCTTAAGCAGTGGGTTGTTGCTGTTTTCATTTCAGTCAGTAAAACTGTCCACGTGTGCCTGAGCCGTGTTTCTGACCCATATTTCACCTGCTCAGCGGCTCGATATTCCAGAAAGCAGTGGAGGACAGTTTGTGTTTTGCTGCCTCAAGGTGCGATTCTGCATAAATGTGTGAAAGTGAAGCTGGCTGATACCAAACCATTTGCACACTCAGCCAATTTTTCCAAAGCCAAAGACATAGTTTCAGAAACAGCACAGAATGAGGACCGCCACTGAGTTTCTTTATTTCAAAGAAAACATGTTTAACTTCTTTAAGCTGCATCCTCAAGGTTCATTTATTTAGCACATTTCTTCCCAAACTAGATTAACCACATTTCAAGATGTCTGCTAAAACAAAAACAAACTAAATGCTGATGCATAATTGTTCATATGATGTCTTTTATGATTTTGCTTATAATCACAGTTTTCTTGACTTTTCTTCCAGGGCTCCAAGCGTCTCCTGAGATCAAATGAGTACGTGCTCCCTCCCAGTGGACTGATGGAGACGGACCTGGAGCTCACATTCTCACTACAGGCAAGTTCTCTGACATGACACTGTGGCGTTTCACACTGATACCACTGTTACCTGTCAGGCAGGGTAGCTTTGACCTACACTTTAAAGGTCACATATTCTCCTCTTTAATATTATGTTTAAATAAGTCTCAGAGCTCCTCAAAACATGTGTGAAGTTTCTTGTTCTAAATCCACTCTGATCCTGTATTTGATCATGCCTATAAACCCCTCTATTTCAGCCCTGCTCAGAACAGGCTGTTTCTGTGTCTGTACCTTTAAATATGTAAATGAGCTGTGTCTGATCACGCCCCCTCTCTGGAAGGGCTGGAGTGTCTCGGGCTTTCTCACTCCATGTCCTATTGTTTACGGTGAAAAGGCAGACTTGGAGGGCAGAACAAACACCTAGCTGTGGTGTGTGTCACCCACCTGGGGAGGGGTTACTGCCCTTTGTGATGTCATGAAGGGAAAATCTCCAAACGGCCTGTTTGAGCACACATTTTCTGAAAAGTGGAGCAGCCAAGTGGATTTTACAGACTATGTGACCTTTACTATGATTAGAAAATGTGTAAAAGTTTAAATATGGTCATGTTTTGGCCTGTTTTACACTAGTTTGTACTGTACAAATCATTAACAAAGTCACTGAGGCAGACTGAAAGTTTAAGAAAAGCCAGCTAGCTTAAGATGTATGAGGTTGGGATAAATTAGAAAATTAAGGATGGAAAACATTTAACCAAATACTTGGTTTCCATCTCGAACAGAGGTCGAGCTAAAGTCACAATACGTCTCAGAAAATCCCAGAAAAACAAGAACACTGCTGCTAAACCGTCTGGTGAAAGCTGATCTTTGGAGCTGTGATTGTGTGAGTATTTCACACCAAGAAGAGAAAGAAAAGTCTTCTTTTTTTTAGATCAGCTTCTGGCAGTCAGAGACGGCATGACTCCATAAAAAGAAAAACAGTTGTGTGAGGTGCAGAGCGACCACCAGTTCATCCCGAGTCCAGCAGACTGAAGCGGAACGTTTTATTTATAGTTCAGAATCTAACAGCCGCCATGTTGGATCGTTTCTGGGATCAGAACGCTGTTTGTCGTATATCTTCATGTTAAGTCAAACACTTGAATGAAGATAGTTCTTGCATGTTTTATATGTCCGCAGTGTTGATATAGTTTGCAGGAAAACAAATTCAGACACGATTTCCTGTTAATGCTCTTGAAAGGCTGCGATGGAAGAAGTTGTTTCATGTAGAAAAGCAGAACTGTGTGTTTAATTAAATCTGCTTGTGGATTTCCAGAAAGAAAATACAACGCATTATGAATAATTCATCTCAGTTTTTTAATCACATAGGGGGCCGGAAACAGACCAGACCGCTTTGTGGAATGAGTCTTAAGGGTGCCTCAACACACACCACTCTAGCCAATCAGGAACGAACAGCCGCAACATTAGACACTGAAATATCTAAACGTTTCTGTACCACTGAAAACTAGCGACCTACCTCCTCTTAAGATGTAATGACATACTAAAAAGACGAGAGAGAATCCGTAGTACTCTACGAGAAATTAAAGATATTATGAAGAGGGGGGTCCCCACCAAGGCTGAGACTTTGAAGGAGCGCATTGCCTTGGCGTTACAAAGTTTGGGAACCCCTGATTTATCTAACTTTATCTTTTGTTTTTGCAGTATCCACACTTTCTAAAGAGGGATTCCAACAGGCTGCAGATCATGCTGCAGAGGAGGAAACGCTACAAGAACCGAACCATCCTGGGCTACAAGACGTTGGCTGTGGGCGTCATCAACATGGCCGAGGTACCGATCCATTTCACGTCTCTGTCAGCAGTTTGTTAGATTCTCTTCAGGAACGTTTCCCTGTGCTCCGAGCTTCTCTCTAACTGACACGCTGTCAGCAGCTGTGTCCTGAGTTACACGTCGTTTCACATGATTCATGCCCATCACACATCCTGCTGGGTGACATTATGGACCATCTGCAGCCGCCTTCATATACACTTTTCTGCTAACAGTGCATTCAGCCATGCTCTGCTCATATAATGGACTGGAGCTGATGTGATGGATGTTTGTTGGCGAGATGAACCATGAAGTTGTTCTTTAATGATTCCAGTCAGTTGTGTTCAGTCGAGTCTTCATCCTGGTCTTTATAGTGACATCAGAGCGCCTGCCTCTGAGCTGCCTCCATTAAAGACTTCCTGGTCGACTAGCTGTCGTTACTTTAAGCTAAACGTTGACTACTTGTTGAACACTACGAGGGCTCGTAAATGTTCATATTATATATTCTGAGGCATCAGAAAATGGTTTGATTTGCAGTAGGCTGATAAAAGTAACTCTGAGCAAATTATACAGAATGTGTAACAACAACCAGCAGGAAGCCTGAACATTATTTAAACACAGTGTCACCCGCCTCAGCTTGCGTCCTCTGGACTGCAGTTGTAAGGCCCCTTGTCCACCTAGCGTTTTTTCTGGGCAGAAAAGCGCTCGCTGTAAGCCCGGGAGTGTTTGCATGAAGCGTCCATCTTGTCAACAATTTGTTGACAACGGCTGCTATAAGACCGTTACTTTTTAATGAATCTTCTATATCTGTATTTTACCCTATCAGACACGGAGCGAGGAGGTCTGTAGGAGGCTTAATATCTTGCATATGAAAAGAATGCCGGTGACGTCAGCAGCGCCTTTCTGAAAAGTTTAAATAGTTTCAACTTGAGCACTCGGGAGTGACCGCACATAAACGGCAGAGGGCTTGTAAAAAAGACTCTGGGCGCTGTGCTTTTCATCCAGGCGGCTGCTTTCTGCTGCCAGCACTCTCTATCCTTTGAAAACAACTGAAAAGAGACACTGGCGTTAAAAAAAAAAAAATGCTAGGTGGAAACGTCTGGTTTCTCTAGTCTGGGCTGATTCAGTTACTCTTAGCTTGGCCTGTAGCTGCTAACATCAGTAGCTAGCTAAGTACTGAATAATTGGCGGTGGGGTTCATTGATTATGGATTTTTGTGGATTTTGGAGGGTACGTTAAGATGGTGTCGTTCTGTTTTCATTCCGTGCAGGCTGCACAGATACTGATGTTCCCGCCCCCTCTTTTTGCAAGTAGGATCACAGGCGCTCCCAGCTGTTTTTTCTTCCAGATGCGATCAGGTGTTTTTGGAGCGGCCGAGTCTCTGTGTGATCGAGCCCTTAGAGTGCATCCCTACCAGTATTTGAACAAAATGAACCTCCTCCCCTAACAGAAGATCATCAGAAAGATCATCCCTCCTCTTCTGATCACACCGTTCATACAAACTGTGTTACACCGTCTGACTGGATGATACGACGTTCAGAATGAAAGCTCAGCACAGAGCTGATGAAGATGTTTTACAGGCAGCATATCTGTCAGCTCCTAATCTGTCTGCAGATCTCAGAGTGTGTAACGCAGTGAAACAGAAGCGTCTCAATTGCTGTCAGGTCAGTTCTGGTTCAGTAAAGACACAGATATGATTCTTTCATCCTCCCTGTCTGTTGGATCTGTTTCATGCTGCTTCGACACGGTTTTACAGAGAGACAGATTTAAAGACGGGGATCGAACCAGACAGAGAGCATCACATTTAAAGAGGATATCAAGAGCCTTTATAAAAAGATGGACGACGTGTCTCCATCTCTTCACATTGTTTAAACAAACGAAGCCACTAAACAGCCGCTGACACTTTGCTCATTTGAAGAGGACATCAGCTGGTGGAGCCGTGTTATCAATGTGCCGCCCCGTCCTCTAACCTCTAACACACATTTAACCTCCTGATCAAAGGTCAAAGGTCACTCAGGTGGGAACAGATTCTTCTATTCTGCAGCCAGCCGGCTGTTGGAGCGCCTGATGTTTTGGCTTCACTTTTGGAGAGCTGTCATGTCGGCCATCGTTATATACATTTGAGACAATAACATCCTGTGTCCACAGACAGCGCGCACGACCTCCGTTTCAGAGCGCTTCTCGCCAGCGCTCATTGTTGCTAGGTTACGAAAGTTAGTTCCCGCCCCTTCTTGATTGTGATTGGTTGGTGAGGGAGTAGTGACAGAGTGACATGAGCATGTCCCTTTTCTAAAAGTTTAACTTCTTTCAGCTGAGAGTGCTGTGAGTGCAGCGACACGGAGGGCGTTTTATCGCTGAGGACAGTGAGCGCTGAAAACGCTGAACTACTGAAAAACGCCATCTGTGGACACAGGCCCTAAATCTATATACGATGTGTATTTAATGAAAGCATAATCAGAATCACTGCAGGGGATCCTGCTTTCTTTGTGAATGGATTCTCAATGTTAATCTCCCCGTCTCCAGGTGATGCAACACCCGACAGACGGAGGACAGATCCTGGGTCTCCATAGCAACGTGAAGGAGGCCCCGGTGCGTGTGGCTGAGATCAGCGTGTACTCTCTGTCGAGCCAGCCCATCGACCACGAGGATGGCAGTGGGCAGGCCGGACGCAAGACCAAAACCTCAGGTGGGCTCAGCTGCCTCCTGTTTTTGTGCACTTTAATGTGCAGGAGTGTTCCTGCAGCCTTCAGCAATTAAAGACAGAAAATAAACCAACCCGTGTGCCTATGAGGACTTCTTTTGATTTCTAACAGTATCATTTCCAAGTTTTAAATTGTGCTTACGTGACAACCTTAGAATAAACTCTATGAATCCCGACCTGCAGCCAGAGATATGTGAATCTCCTCAGCGATGGTTGTAATGTCGATGTGAGAGCTGCACAGATTTAGGGGCTGTTACCGTACACCGGTCTAATTCTGGGAGGGGAGGGGGGATCATGGGCCTCCATCCTGCTCTGCTGTTCCCTCCCTCTGTCCTGGATGTTATTAAGGACTCGGCTCAAACATAACAGATGAGCTCACGGCCCGAGTATTAAAGCCGTGTCACTCTGAGGGAAGAAAAGATGTTTATCTTTGTCCTCTCTTCACTCATCTTTAATAACGACCGTCCCAGCACAGAACACAGAACAGGATGTTTCACACAAAGTAACTCTTCAGTCCGTCACCTGATCAGTGCTCCGTCAAACACGCAGACAGATCCGCCTCTTTAGGTCGAATCAAACCCATGACATCTCACATTAGAGGCTCGGAAAAGGATCCAGAATATGAGACAAAGTGAACAAAAAGAGCTCTGCAGTCTCAATGAATGTGTGCACATGTACTACTGACTCATAAATGTATCTCTGCTCACCAACTTCAGATCGCTCCCCAGACATGGACAACTACTCCGAGGAGGATGACGATAGCTACTCGTCAGAGCAGGAAGCCAGCGATGACGCAGTCCACGGACAGGTGAAAAACACAAGACAAAATTAAGTGAATAAACAAATAGACACAGCAGTATATATATATATATATAGTTCTGAGTCTACTGTTCTCAAAACAGACTGTTTCCATGACAACAGCCGAAGCTAACTGCAACACCAATAAAGAAGTTCTCTGCATACTCGTGGCCATATGACGCCTGTTGTTCACACGCTTCGTCTTTTTGTTGACAGATTATCATATTGCTAGTTGTATTTCCTACATTAAAGCAGCAATCTGTAACTCCTCCTCCTTCAGTTGTTTCAAAGTCGATCTAATGGAACAATAACCTCCAACAGGGAGAATGGCGTCTCTCTCATGGCGTCCACAGAGCGCCCCGCTCGTCTGTTTTCAGCACTATATAACTTTGTCAGCGGGCCGAGGTCATCTGGTGAGTGTGTACGTCTTTATGGCGCTAGTTCACACAGCAGCCTTCAGATACAAAGCAGACAGTTAGCCTGTATCTGTACTATTTGATGCAACTGAGAGAGAGAGAGAGAGAGAGAGAAAGAGAGAGAGAGAGAGAGAGCAAGGAGCAGAGTGTACATCCTGCAGATATTATTCAGAACAGAATGATCCGTAACGTTAGCGGTGTCATCGTTGTCTCAGCTTTAGCGGCTGCAGGAAGTCGTCTAACCCGAGTTCTGTCTCAGGTTTGATACAAAGAAATCATTAAATCCACCTGACACCAAAAAGTCGTCTCTTTCCTCGTCCATCTTCAAGTCAGCTTCATAAGTTTGAACCTTACAAACCTATCTCAGCTAGCATGTAATAAAGGAGCCTCTCCGATGTAGACATTTAGCCCCTGCCTGTAGTCGTCATGGTAACAGCTGAATACTCAAACACATGCTACACTCCACATGCTAAGAATTAGCTAACGACGGGCTGTAGACGCTAGCAGAGTCAGATTTGATTTAAATCCTGTAATAATACCGAACCTCGTCAGTCGACATGGTTCTTTATCTTCTCATCACGTCTTTGTCGACTCTCTGCCCTCTGATGGTCAACAGATAAACGCTGTCTAAGAGGGGGAGGAGTTAACAGCATTATTATGCATTAAAGGTGCAGTTGCACCCAGAGATCTTCAGTGGGCGCCATAGTGCCCTAAACTTAATTCCAACATAAGGATTCTTTAAGATTATAAAAGTTCACCTGAGTGAGTATTTGAGATCTTTCATCCGTCTGTATTTCAGGATCTTTACGACGAAGACGACGAGGTGAGGAAGCCGAAGAAACCCCGGAGGAAAATGATCCGAACCACCTCCATGACCAGGGTGAGTCTCCGTCCTGCCAATCATTGACTGAGAGAAACACTCCAGACATGTGTTTGCTGTCGTACGAGCTTTTAAGGCAGGGCACACACTGTGCTGCGTTTGTCGGAGCCATTAGTGCGACGTGGATGAGCATGTAAATGAACACAGTGGGCTCACTGGACTGTTTCTAATGGTCTTTACATGGAGTGGCTGTGAATGAGTAATCCAGCAAACAGTCAGTGTGAGCGCTGATAAGCTCGCGCCCAGCTGTCATACATATTTAATCACCACACGCACTTTTTAGACGCTTCTTTTTCTCATTATTGTGTTTTTTTTTCTCTCTTTCAGCAACCGAACTTTAAGCAGAAGTTTGTGGCCTTACTGAAGAGGTTCAAGGTCACAGATGAGGTGAGTGTGAGCGGAATAATAACGTTTTGATTGACAGACAAGAAAAAACGCTCAGTGTCGGAGAAATAGGATGTGGGGAGTTTTTAGAGCGTCCGCCCGGAGTTTCTCCCTCCCCCCCTGTTCTGAAGCTTTAGTGGGTTAGCTGGGAAACATATTGGTTATTAAACTGACCTCAGGGCAGCAGAAAATAACCTCCGTATTGACTGTATAAACAGTATAACAGTATGCAGCTACACAGCTACTGATGCTCTCCTGAATGGAGAATCACCTGCAGAGAAACGAGGTACAGCGTCACAGACTGTGACTCATTCACCGCCATCAGCAGCGCTTCGTATGCAGAATCCATTAACCACATTTTCTTTCTACCACTTAATCTAATGATACATGTGGGCTCACGTCCTCGTCCTATTTCTGTTTGTGTTTTTCTCCTCAAGTGCTTTTGAATGAATGTTTCTGTGGATTCTACATAATAGCTCGTAATCAGGTCATCAGCCGGAAGTCCACAACCCCTACAGTGGATTGCCATTAGCAGATAATCTGTCAGGCCTCCGTCCTGATAATCATTACCACTCAACTATGAAATGTATAGGAGCAAGTGATACATATCCCCTGTTTTATATCAGCCTGACGTCAGAGGAGCCTATAGAATCACAAGAAAAAAAGATGTTTGACAGATTCTGTGTCCGTCTGTAGATGGGCTCAAGGTTTACTGTCTTTTTTTATTCTTTATATTTGTTTATAAAAGTAAAGACTGGAACCAACAGGCCAGAATAAATGATGCGTAAGTGAGGCTGAAGGCCACCTGAGTTTTGTTTTTCTGGATGTTTCTAAAAGCTCAGGTGGCCTGATGATCTTTTATCACGTTCCCTGTCTTTAATCCTTCCTTCCTGGTGGCCGCGCGGTGTGCAGGGCTTCAGCTCTATAAATACAGCGCCAGGAGGAGGAGGAGGAGGAGGAGGAGGAGCGGGGACAGACTGTGTTTATCTGCTCCCTGCCAGCTTCTACACTTATGGAGTGGCATTAATCACCTGATTAGTCTGCAGCCTGCCTGTGTGCAGCTCCCATGATATACATCCCCGCTGTGCAGCTGGTAGATCAAAGCTCAGGACCTCAGCTCTCCACTAGCACTCACTTACCTTTTAATTGGCCTGCTTAGGACCAAGGCAGGGATGTATTTATAGCACAGGCCGTCTCATTTTATAGTCCTCACAGCTCTCTGTCATTCTCTGAGCTCCATTAGCCCGGCTATGAAAGTGATTAGCTAATGCACAGCTCCAATCACTCCCTACACTTATTTAATCCACAGCCATAATTACAAATCCCTGATTATTGAGTCCTGAAGTGTCCATGATGTGTCTGTGTGCACCTCAGGTCCTGGACTCTGACCCCGTGGACCAGACGCAGGAGGTGGAGGAGGATCTGGACTTACTCTACGACAGCCTGGAGGTTTACAACCAGAGCGACAGCGGCCCGGAGATGGAGGACAACGAGAGCGTCCTGAGCACACCCAAACCCAAACTCAAGTACGTCCACACCGCCGCTCCGTCCTCAGAGGGACATCTTCTCCCTGTTTACCTCGTTCACCTCGTTTACCTTTTGGTTTCGAGACTTGACACCAAGACTGATTTTGAGTACAACAACACTAGTTGGGTCATTATTGGAAAATTATTTTTCTCTTGTCTTGCAGGACGACAAACTGTCACTCGAACAGAATAATCCTGCACACTACTCTCGCTAAGCTTCACCAACGTTTGGGTCCCTCTGAACCTTTGTCTAAAGTGTGCAGGGTCACTCACCCCAATATCCATGTGATATTGGGGTGAGTGACCCTGCACATGTTACTGCTTATGATTGACAGACACTTGTTATCAGACTATATGTCCCACACCTGAGCACACACAGTAGGTGGAGCTTTGTCTACTTAGAGCGGGGTACACACTACAAGATAATCGGGCTGATAGTGGGCCTGATTCTACCCTTATGATCAAAGTCAGCAAAGGCCAGACTATCTGATGGTTCAAGAGATGATGGTGCCAGATGAGGTGTGAGGCGTGTTGAGAGTGATTTTAACCTTGCTGATCTGATCAGAAGACGATCGGGCCGCCCCCAATTTGAAATAGTAAATATTAAACATGTTCAACATTTACAATCACAAATCCTGTTGTGAGGGGAGAACACAGAGGACGGCCGAGCACGCACTCTGTGAATTGTCACGTGGAAGGGAACACTGGCCAATAAGGAGGCAAGCTGACCGAAGCAGGAAGCACAACAAACATACGACAGCAAATCTGAAGAAGATGGAATTCAAGAGCAACTTGATTTGTGGCAACCGTGATGGATGTACCAGCTAACAGCTAGCCTGATTTAGCTTGACCATCATGTTGGTTTACTCTTAATTAGCGCGATATAACACGTTTTGATAGTCGAGACTGATTGTTGGTGAATGAAACGGTTAGTGTGCTTAGGTGGCCTCGTTGTTCTCCACACACTATAAGAACTGAAACGTCTAAAACGTTTATAGTGTGCCAGGCCTAAGATCATGGTGGGGAATTTGAGACAAAGGTTCAGAGGGACTGAAGGGCTGGGACTTGTTCTAATAAATTGGTGATGCTTAGCATAGTGTGTGTGGAGCTGTTGAATGTGTCCCAATGGGGAGATAAATTAATGTGTTTGAATCTTAGCCCGTGTGTTGTTTAAGTATGAAACCCCCTCAAACTGCAGCTGCCTTCTCCGAGGGAACCGCCCAAAAAAATGACCAAGTTGTTATTTTTTCTCTGATTCACGTCTGTTTTCTGTTTTCAGGCCGTTTTTCGAGGGGATGTCTCACTCCAGCTCGCAGACGGAAATTGGAAGCATACACAGCCAGAAGAGCGCGCAGAGAGAGCTGTCATGTCCTGTAAGTTGATCACCAGGCGCTGGTCCCCGTCTGCTGCCTCTCAGCCCCCTCTGTTTACCCGGAAAGTTCTGCCTGGCAGCTGCCGGAGAGCGTCTCTTTGTAAACACTCTTATGTAAAGGAATCGCCCCTGGGCTCTGTTTGAATGTCTGGCAGTCCTCTCTGCTTTTTGTGGTTCAGGGATTCCCGAGGACTGAGATACAACAGGCGAGATATTCTGAGCATGAGTGCAGTGCAGACCACCAACTCTCTCTCCCCCCCCCCCCTCTGCAGAACAGTATGGGGGCTGTGGCCTCACCCTATTCACCCCTCAACCCCCTCCAGTATTTATAGAGACCAAACCAGAGTGACCCCCATACCACCATCAACACTCAGACACAAATATGCTCCCATACTCACAGAGAAAAGCAATTCCTGAACTCCCACTCAGAGATTTATGACCCGCTGGAAACAACGAGGGCGAGAGAGAGAGAGGCAGAGAGAGAGGCAGTGCTGTTTATAAATATCCGAGAATCCATTTCGGTCTGTAATAAAACAGCTCGGAGCTTTTCAGACTTCGATTCTGCTCAATAAATGTCTCCAGTGGAACTTCATAAACACGTCTTGCAGGCTAAATGGAAAGTCTTTGATCTAATATTAAAGTTTAATCAAGTAGACGTTACAAGATGAAGCAAATGTTAGTGCACAAGAGCAGGCCAACTCCAGTGGCTCGGTGCTTTCTCTCTCTGTGCCCTATTGTGAGAAGGAAGACTCAGAGGGCAGAACAAACACCTAGCTGTGGGAGTGTCACCCACCTGGGGGAGGGGTTACTGCCCTTTGTGATGTCATGAAGGGAAAATCTCCAAATGGCCTGTTTGAGCACACATTTTCTGAAAAGAGGAGCAGGCAAAAGACGGAGAGGATGGACTTTTCTCATCATTGGGGGGTTTGTAGACAGACTAGAGACACATATTAGAGATAGAGGAACATGGAGAAGTGGATTTTAAAGGGGACATTTTCGGAGAAATCCACTTCTACAGTGTTTGTTAACATGGGTGTCTACCGACCCACAAAATGTGAAATAAACCCATCCAGTCCTTTGTTTGTGGTCTGCACAAGTCTTACAACACAGAGAAAAATGCTCAGTTTCAAATGTGCTCTCCTTGTGATGTCACAGTGGGATTCTGGTTAAAAAATTCCCCTCTCCTCCCCTGATATCTCCACCCATGGACTCCACCCCCAGCCTAGAACAAAACTTTTGTTCAGGTCCGCCATTTTCCGCTAGCGAAGGAGTGATGTCTACCTGGAAAGCTCAGGGGGGGCTCATTTCATTTAAAGAGACACACACACCAAAACGGAGCGTTCTGAGAGAGCTGGTTTATACAGGGTCACAAACCTCCTCTGGTGCTTGATTCATGTTATATTTTGACCACAGGGGACTGTTTGAAAAGGTGGAGAAGGGGGATCATATGTACTCTTTGATCCTCGTCAGGCGATGGCTGATAGGTTCAGGACCGCCTGAGAAGTGACCTCAATGCTGTAAATGTTTTAATGTGCGTGTTCTCCCTGCAGAGTGGCGAATTCCTGACCGTGGAAAGATGTAAAATACAAGGAGCCCGGTATCAAGACGACATCGTGGCAGACACCACAGTTGGGGTATGTTTGTGCAAGAGCAGTATACGTGACTTTGTTTCTAAACTTCATCCCTCTTGAGAGTATCTTTCTCAGAATCGTTCTTTTTTATTCGCTCCACTTGAACGCCCCTCTCCTCCCGTGGGTCCGATTGTTTTCCAAGAAGATGGCAGAGAGCACGCGAGGGCAGACGAGAGCTGCCACCGTACCAGCATTTTGAACGGAGATATGATTCTCATAAAAGTTGAAACTATATTGATTTCTGCTTGGATACCGCAGCAAGAACAATAGAATAATATTTGTTAAGTTCTTGTTTTTTTTTCATGACTCCCCCTCCTGCACGCTGTCTAATTTGCACAGTGCTGAAATGTTGGCAATGCAGATTTGAAAGTGTGCAGGTGATGGCCTGCTATCTTTGATGGATTCATTCCTCTCCTACTCACCTCTCTTATGAAATAGATGCAGTCTTTAAAAGATTTTGTACTTTTTGATTCTATCCATCATGAACAGAACGGATTCTCAGGTTTAAAAACATGTGCCATCACAGCACTCATCTATTATGGATCAGTCGAGCAGTCACGGCAGCCGCACGCAGACTGATGAGGGTGGAAAGCAGATTGTTTGTTTGTTGGTGTCGGTCTAACCTTGCCCCACTGACCCAGACCCTCCCCCCCCTCTCCCCCTTCCTCTCTGAGTGCGGGCATCTGGCTCTCTGCACCGCTCCAACAACCCGAGTCAGATGAAAAATCTAAACTGCAGAACAATGTTTCCCCTGCCACCTGCTACCAGACCATGACTTTTCATCCCCTCCGTCATGTTGAGCTCGCATCATTATCTCCAACCTCAACAGCTCAGCTTCAATTATTCATCAGGGCAGCACCTCTCTGCGTCCGTACTGCTGCGACTCTTTCAACTATAGTTCTTTAAACACGGGCTGCAGAAGCACCACACACACACACTCACAGACAGAGTCCAGAGTTTACCTGGAGCCTGAGAGAGAATCTGGCTCGCTGTGTTTGGACATGACGGTGCCTGTGTTGTGTGATAAACATCAGTGTCCTCTCACAGCCCTCTCAGCTCATCTTTCCTCCTCCCTGATTTTGGTTCAGGAGCCGGAGACTGACGACAGCGGGCCGGGGCCGGGGGAGGTGAGCAGCTGGGACGTCAACACTGAGCGGATGACCAGCACTGTTGGCAAGCTCTGCAAGACCGAGTCCCAGAACCACATGTCTCCCAGGTACACTGCTGATCACTACATCCGGAAACATGCACACAACACTGTTATATCAGCTTGTGTGTACACGAGGGCTGCAGGATACGAGAAAGTGACACTGAGGTGCCTTTGTTTCAGATCTGGACAAATGCAGGATATTATCAGAGACGTGTCGTTAGTTTTGCATGGACTGATGTACATTTAGAAATCATAACTAGGGTTTGAGGACAAAGGAGATGAAATAGGAGAGATTTTTGGTAAAAGGAAACGTGTCTGGAGCGAGGGTGGCCTCATGCTTGGTTAGCATGCCCCATGTACGGAGGCTGTCGTCCTCTTAGCAGGCGGCTGGGGGTTCAAATCCCACCTATGGCTTCTTTTCTGCTACTTCCACGATTTCTGACTCTAAAAGTACAATCAAATCAGACAACATAAGCAGGAGAAAACAAGATTTAAAAAGCTGGCGAATCGACATACATCATGCTTGTTTAATTATGGAGAGACCTACATCACAGCCAATCACCTGCTGGAGTCAGGAGTCGATCCGCCAAATCACTGGAGGGAGCTAGAACACCTCTTAACACAGACACAGAAAAACAGCACGCACACAGACACAAACAACACTGAGTGAATATAAACAAAGTAAAACACATTAGGAACACAGCTGTAACATCTGCTTTGTTTTAGCCAATTTACTATGAGCCTTGTGTGCAAGGATGGTTATGTAATGTCAGAGGGAGATAAATAGCCAAAAATGAGTACTTTGCAAGGTTTCCTTTTATATCATACAGCATAAGAAGTGATATGTAGCGTTGAAGTTAATTTGCCCGACGCTACGTTGGATGTGCACAAATTGCAGAGTCAATATTAACCATATATCTTACAGCCCTTCTGTGTACCTGTGACTTTAGATTCTGATCTAAGTTTTATGGGAATTCGTCTGTTGTTGACTTATGCAGTAAAGTGGAGAACAGGCTGCAGAGGCGTCCTCGCAGCACCTCCATGAAAGACAGACAGAACTCGAAGGCTCAGAGCGACAGGACCAGCAGCATGGAGAGCGAGTGCTCCCCTGACTCCCGGCTCATCGCTCAGGTAAACATCTCACAGACGTGTTCCTTATGTATGTTTTTGGTGCAGGGGGAAATGTGCTGGCTCGTGTGTCTCACACTTTCTGTTTCTCATTTGTCTGGAAGGTCCCCAGGAAGTCTGTGTACGACCAGCTGAACCAGATCCTCATCTCTGACGAACGCCTCCCAGAGAGCATCATCCTCATCAACACCATGGAGTGGCAAGGACAGGTGTGTGTTATTCTCTACACTATGCAATCATAAACTCCCTTACACAGTACAGGAATAAAGGTAATGCAGGATATGGGTTATAAAGCTCACAGAGAGACAGATTATTAGTCTGATATTTACAGGAACAAATCTCCAAAAGACTCCAACAGCACAAACACGACCCAGAGGTTAAAGGTCAGGGACTGAATTAGCTGAGGTGACACCTAGCAGACAGCTAGCAGCTCCCACCTGTCACGCAAAGAGGCCACGCCCCCTAATTATACATCCCTTTAAGACTTAATATAATGTAAACAGGTGAGTTGTTAATGTATATCCATTAACCCATCGTGTCCCTCTCGTGTGTTTCTGTGCAGTACGTTGCCGAGTTGCTCCATGAACAGGCCCAGCCCATTGTGTCCACCTGCTCTGCTGCCGATGTTCAGGCTGCCTTCAACACCATCGTGACTCGCATCCAGAGATTGTGAGTTGCTTACACACACACACACACACACACACACACACACACACACACGCAATGAAGCAATGAATGATGGTTAAATCTTGTTGTTATCTTGGAGTTGTCCTCCCCAAACAGACAGATCATTTAAGGACGCCATCGCTCATGCTACCTTATTGCTTCCTGCCTGTGAATGTGACGGTCTGTTCATGAAAGGCTAAACCTCTGCTCTCCTATCTCTCCATTCGCTCGGCTGCCGTCATGTCTGCAGGAGCTGTCTCAGTGTGCTTCTGTTAAACCCGTTTTCTCTGTAATCCAGCTGAACTGTAACTCTCCCTCTCCGCACACACCTGCTCCCTTCCTCGCTCTGTTTACTGCAGCTGATGCCATGTCATGTAGAGCCATGCACGTCTCTGATGTTCAAACACTCGCTCCGTCATACCGCTGCTTCCACTGCTGCAGGGCTTTCCTCAAATGTAGCCACGTTTCAAAGTGCCATTCTGTTCCTGGATGGTATATTCCGACCTCGTCTATGATTTAGGTCAGAAGATGCAAAACATACCAATTAAAGAAACAGCTGTGCAAATCTTCAGCTGTTTTCTGGGATTTAATAATTCTCTGTGTATGAAAAGAATAATAACTTCAAGCTGTTGCAGTTTTTAGTCACCTTGAGAAGACTTGCTGAGACTTGCATGTCAGATATTACAAATCTAAACATATGACCTGATCCGGCCCTCATTAAACCGGTTTCTGCTGTGATCTAAATCTCTCTTCCAGAAATCTCTGAGTCACGTCTGTCATGATGTGGGACTTTCTCTTAATGACTCCTTCCTCTCTCTACAGTTGTAACTGCAACGCACAGACACCGCCGACGATGAAGGTGGCGGTGGCAGGTGACCAGAGTTACCTCAGCACCATCCTGAGGTTCTTTGTGGAGCAGCTCGCCAACAAGACGCCCGACTGGCTCAGCTACATTCGCTTCCTGGTGATACCCATCGGTAAGACAACAAGGATGAGTAAAAAAAATATCAAACCAAAGACGATACATGTGCTTTAAGATCTTCTTTGCACTCCTCTGCAGGTTCTCATCCGCTGGCAAAGTACGTGGCCTCGTTTGACAGCCGGTTCAACAACATCTTTATGGACACGGCGTGGAGGGAGCTGTTCTGCAGGACGGAGCGGCCCGCCTCAGGTACACAGCTCCGGGTCTGTGTGTAAAGAGAGTGTGTGTGTCTGATGCTCAGCCAGCTTGAAAGAGAAAGAAATGGGGTGGTAGTTTGGGTCAGAGGCTGATGGATGAGAGGAAAGAGTATCCAGAGACAGCTGCAGCCGGCTGTAGTTCTGCAGAAAGCTCCACATCATTACACTGATGCTCCATGAAAACCGTCTGCAGCTGCTTCAGAACACAAACAGCCCGCTGCCCGCCAGATATTTATCTGAAAGGTTTTCTGAAAAGGTTCTGCTATGAAGGAGAAGGAATTCACATCATCCCACATGCAATATTCCCAATCTGCAGGGAAATCTTCCCATATTTTATGATTTCACAACATAGTTACATTTTACAGCCCTTGATTTATCTAGGGTTAGGGTCATGTAACTGGATATAAAAGGAAAGCTGTACACTTCCTGCTAACGTTATGTTATCTACTGAATGCCAGCTTAAAGCTCCCATACTCTCAGTCGTCAGTCTGTGAAATCTTTACAGCAGCTTCCCATGATCTGATTTACCTGATACTGGCGTCAGGAAAAACCCTCATTTCAGCCTCTGCCTGAAACGATTTATTTCAGCTGCTGTCTCTTTAAGACACCTCCCCACTTGCCTACTCTCTTCTGATTGGCCAGCTCTCTGGAAGCCTTTCTACGGGGCAGAACGCTGCAGGGCTGCCAGAGGAGGGCTGCTCTCCAGTACTGGGAGAAGAGGCTTGAAGACGTCTCTGTTTCATATCGGGGAACTGTCATGTGATTTGCAGAACAAGCCGTTGAGCGCCCTCTGCAGACTCATCCTGGGATTACTCCAACATTCGTTTACATGGTAATAGGTCATAACAGGTCATTTTCCACTAGGTCATTGGGTGTTACAGCACAGAATATAAGCCTGAAGGTATAAGGTGTAAGGAAGGGATCTGCAAAAATGTTGAATATATGAACAAGACGATGAACAGAAATGTAATGTTATTTTAGGACTGTTTGATCTTTCTCTTTGAGATAGAATCATTTTCTCTCACTCGCTGTTTAAAAGTCTGACAAATGTTTCCTGTCACGCACATCCACGTCCAAGCTTCTATTTTCATCCTCCTTCTCATTCTCACTCGTTCTGCCCCAACATGTCTGATAATCGTCGCCCCTCCCCTCCCGTGGTACACTTTGCTTACACCCAATAGGTGAAAGAGTAACAGTCCCACACACACTGGATCATCTCCACGGAGGGTTTGGCCTCCTGCACCCGGAGAGCCACGTCAAAATGAACCCGCATTAAGAATTATGTTGCCAAATATGAATGCCAGACTGCATGTAGCCCTCAGGCCGTCTGTTTGACACACACTTCATCTTATGTGTCGTATGGCTGACTTCACACGTGTTTTAATGACCTCACTCTGCGGAAGGAGCATGATTAATGCTCGGTCTTCCAGTAATCAGCTGTATGTGAAAATAAGCTCCTAGCATCATCTGTCTGCGGCTCGTTAGCCGGACATGAAACATGTCGTTAACGGTCTGTCTCTCTGCAGATAACATCGACGTAGCGGGACGGGTGGTGCAGTATCTGGCCGGTGCCAACGTGTCCCACCAGTTCCCCATCTCAGAAGCCATGCTCACCTACAAACAGAAGAGGTACAGTTACAGAGATTATTTCTGTATGTGTGTGTGCGTGTGTATATTTGTGCTTTCTATAAGCATGTCTGTGTTGGAATGATTGCATCGTGTAGCACTGAGAGTTTCAGATTAACTAGAAATATAGAAACATCTGCATGAGGGAGATGTGTGAGTGCACGTCCATGCACACAGGCATATAAAGACACAAACACGCACACACAAACACACACACACACACGCTGTGATGTGTGCTGATGATGATTTAGTTCTTACTTCAGAGTCACGTCTGTTAGTGTGATGTAAACCGGTCCAGAGAATGCAGGTTTGACTGTCTGTAACTGTTTGATGTTTTTTCAGGGTTTACACACACACACTGCACAAACTGTCTGTTGCATTTCTGTGTTTGTTTGCTTTCTGAGGTTTGACCAAACCCCGCCCCTCTTTGTCAGAGAGGCCTCCTATTGGTCAGAAGGTACTAATGACATCACACAGTTTTAACACTGTTGCATTCCTTCTCCCCCCCTTCTCCCTCCCTTTTGATTTGCACTCAAGGAAAAGGAGTTTGTATTTTGATTTTTACATCAGGTATCTAACTCAACTCTTGCTTTGTTTTGCCCTCCTTCCGCTCCTTGCTGTGTCTCAACATTTCCCTTCTCCACGTCCGACTCTCACCGTGACTTCACTCTGCACTCTGTCCTGACTCTGTCTCTGGTTTTGGTGTGATTCTTGGTTTTTGCTCCCTCCTCTGTGTTGTTGCTGTGAAGATTTGCCTAACAACCTTTAAAACGACCTGAAATATCCAAAGATATGAAAGGACCTGTGACTCGTTCACGAAGCGCTCTCACTGTCAGGAACATTTTAGAAACAAATATTTGTGTACGATTATTGTTGTTGTCTCGTTCTTTTTGACTTTAGGGCTTCGAATGTCTTCATTAATATCACCGATCACATTTAGTCGTTTATTATTTGATGTCTTCTCACCCTGTAGAGAGCACATCACCTCCGCCTGTTTGTTTATTGCTGAACAAAAAAATAATTCAAGTCGAATGATCAGACAGAATTTATCCCCTGTGAGACAAGAAAACGGGCTGAAAGACAATCAGAGAAAATGCACAACATATTCATCCACACTGATTTGAACTTTAGCAGAAACAAACATAAAAGATTTACTTCAAACGCTCTTCTGTAGCTCGTCATAAAACACTCAATGAAACAGGGCAAAAGTTAAACTAACACAAACAACCCGACGTTTGCAGAGGTCTTAAGACTGTTTTGATTAGTGCGATGATTAGTCACTCTTAGATCTCAGCTCCATCGAGCGTGCAGCCGCCGCTCCCTCTGACCCTCTGATGCGAGCAGCAGGTTTGACTTCCTTTTAGTACAAACCCAAAGAAGCTCATGTGGATACGTTCTCTTCAAACCAGCTAGCTGTGATGAAGACGGACCCGCTGGATGTCTAACTTTGTTAAACTCAATCTTATAGGGTTTTGTTCAGCCGTCTTTCTTTGCAGAATCTTATTTTGAAACTTTATTTTTTTAAAGATTTATTTTTGTGCCTTTATTGACGAGATAGGACAGTGGATAGAGTTGGAAATCAGGGAGAGAGAGAGAGAGTGGGGAATGACATGCGGGAAAGGAGCCACAGGTTGGAGTCGAACTTGGGCTGTACATGGGGACGCGCGCACTAACCACTGCGCCACCAGCGTCCACTTATTTTGAAGCTTTCATTGATAGTATGATTTCTGTGGACTGCTGCGATGCATCTGCTCCAGCGTTGACCTTGTGTTGCTTGCTGTGAGTGAGATATTCTGCAGGATCCAGACAGACGTGCAGAGAGTGAGCGGTTCAATTGGAGCTTTTTAAACTCGTCCCTGCTGGGTCACTGGGTGCACTTCTTCTTCTATTTGAAGCCGGTTGCTGTGTGTGTGTGTTTGTGTGTGAGCTGATGTTTAATGGCGTTGTCTGGAGGTTTCCTTTCTTTGAACTTTTTCAATCTGTGACGCGTCCGAGACGTTGGAGTAGTCGAGTCCAAACCATCCCTTCAGTCCAATGTTTCAAAGTTACTCTTCTCTTGGTTGTAAGGAGCCGTCCTCCTCTCATCCATCTCATTGTAAAGTGACCCTAAAGATGACCCCATTTCACCCACGGCCAATCATGTGCCATTCCTGCTGTGATGGGACATGGTGCAGGCCGTGTCACAGCCACCCCCACCCCCCCCTCCAGGTCCACTGAGTGTTCAGACCGCCATCTCGTCCCACTCACAGCCTCTCCTCTCTCTCTGTTTCAGCCCCGACGAGGACTCCTGTCAGAAGTTTGTGCCGTTTATCGGGGTGAGAATTTAACCTTTGAGCGGAGGCGACAGACGCAGTCGTAGATTCATTCTGTGTTTTATTTTGGTTTTAACGCTGAATCCTTTTCTCCCCTTCAGGTCGTGAAAGTTGGGATTGTGGAGCAGAGCCTCTCGACTTCAGGTAAGAAAGTGGATTTCTTTTCAAGCCGTGTTAGTTTTCTGTCCACATAGTAACAAGGATTCTTTGTGCTGGGACAGGAACCAGAATTGTAAACTTCCAAATGATGCTTGTTAAAATGAAACTATTTTAATTCCTGTTTCGAGACAAACAAAGTCTGGTTCATTTCATCAGTGTGAACACAAACGTACCGTACTCAGGTACTGTGCCCGAGTCCGCTTAAAGAGGTGGTCACTGGCTCAATTCATGTGTACTCGAGTACGGTCCACGGGAGATGTGAACGCAACCGTGCTCAAACAAGGAAGTGGATAGCTATATGACGTCGTTCTAAAACGTCTCCTATCGCTTCAAAAACCGTCGTATCCGTTCAGCACGTCTTATCCTCTGAGCTGCACGGTAGATGTGGAAGTAGGACGAGAGTCATTGTTGGCGTCTCAGATGTAACAAAAACATCCACAGTTAGCAGGATGGACTCAGCCTGCGAGTGGTTGCCATGGTTACTTCTTCTTTCTGCTTTTTCAAACCAACTATGTGCATACTGCCCCCTGCTGTATCGGAGTGTGAACATGATACTAAAAACACACAAATAAAAAAACACAACAAATAAAGAGACAGAAGACTCAACTCATGAGATCTCAATCCACATCGGCTGTCAGAGATAAAACTGACGCTCTCTTCCTCCCCCTCTCTTCAGTTGACTCAGACGATGCAATGGGAGGCAACACGAGCATCCTGTCCTCCCCGACGCCCCCATCGGCTGGTCCGTATGGGAAGGAGATCGGTGGCACGCCCCCGCAGTCTCCCTCCGTGTCCACGGCCCTCTCAGGAGCTGGGTATGACACACACACACACACACACACACATACACACGTCGACATCTCACACCATCCATGCTTTTCATTTCTTCTGCAGAGACTCTGACTTTGACGCGGCTTTTATTTGCAGCTCTCCGTGTTCGGGCAGCGAGGTGATGGGGCTGCAGGTGGACTACTGGACGTGGCAGGGTCCAGAGAAGAAGAAGGAGGGCGAGAAGAGGGACGTGGGGCTGAAGAACACCCTGAAGAGTAACTTCAGATCTCTGCAGGTCAGCCGCCTGCCCTGTGGAGGGGAGCTCACCCCCCCACCCAGCATGGCCATGACCGTGGTCACCAAGGAGAAGAACAAGAAAGGTACGCTACCCTCTGGTCAAAATAACCTCAACGCTTTGAAGGTTAATGCTTGAAATGTAACTCATCTTTTCCCCGCACGAGACAGAGAGAAGCTTATTACTTCTTCAGGTTCATGAGGACACGACTGATTTCACTGTCTAAAAGCCTCAGATTTTAACTTATTTCTCAGGAGGAGTATTAAACACACTCTCTCTCTCTGTAGTTCTCCTCTTCTCCAGAGAGAACGGCGTGATGAAGGAGCGTCTCTAACTCCTCCCTCTTTCCCTCCACAGTGATCTTCCTCAGTAAGAAGCCGAAGGAGAAAGAGCTGGACTCTAAGAGCCAAGTGATCGATGGAATCAGCAGGTTGATCTGCACTGCCAAACACCAGCACACCATGCTGAGAGGTAAGAACACACCGCTCAGGCTGCACCGCCATCTGGTGGTCACGTCAGGAACTGACCTCAAATAAACCAGTGACAGGTCATCAGAGGAGGTGAAAGTGTTCACAGTTAAAGTATAGATTCTAAAATACTGAGATATGTTTTACTACCTGTGCTGTTTATATTTCTGTTACATTAAACATTTGCTGCTGTGAAATACTTTTTAAAGCGTGCAGCAGTCCACGTCACGCCTCTCGCCTCCTACTGCCAATCCCCACATACTCTGTGCGCGCTGCGTTCTCTCAGTACCACGGTTCTGCTCCGTCGAAAGGCGTGCACCCTGCCACACTGGAGCATGAGCACAGCCATGAGCAGCTGAACACACGACAGGAGAACTACAAGATCACAGGAGAACTACAAGAACACATGAGCACTACAAGACCACATGAGAACTACAAGACCCCATGAGAACTACAAGAACACATGAGAACTACAAGATCACAGGAGAACTACAAGACCACATGAGAAAAACAGAGTCCATGTAATTTATTGTATTTTATTTTGAAATTGACCGGACGCTCTGTGCGTTTCCTCGTCTGACATCCAACTCTGTCCAGCTTGACACGTTCTTGCAGCGAGCTTTGTCTGAAATAGACACTGGAATAGTGTGCAGCGCTGATGGGCTGCGGCGCTCACTGAGTATGTGGAAATTGGCAGGTACTTGAACGCATCATGTTTGTAAGTGTGGATGTCAGAAGGCGTCCTTTAAGGAGGAGCTTTGTGACCTCGTAGGAAATGTAATCGATCCGTTACCTGAGTGATAAAGTCTGAGTCTGTTCACTCAAGAAAGCTTGAAGCACTGTTATGTTTAATGTCTGTTCTGTAACGGCGAGCTCACTTTGTGAAGCGTCTTTTCTTTGAAGGTGGCGTTCATTTAACTTCTCCTCATTCCCTCCTCAGTCACCATCGATGGAGTCGAGTGGAACGACGTGAAATTTTTCCAGCTCGCTGCCCAGTGGCCGACACACGTCAAGCACTTCCCGGTGGGAATCTTTGGTTACACCAAACCCGTGTGACCCCGGCTGCCCCCCCCACCCTCACGACTCTCCGCTGCACTTGTCTCACCGAGAGGCTCCAGAGAATGAGAAGAGACGCCGACGGGCCCGGCAGTACTAGTTTTCCTGTGGAAATCTTACTGACTCTCAGCGGCTTGTTCATAAAGGATGTTGGTGTTGTCAACTCGATGTTTTTGATGTTGTTGGGTGTTGTTGTTGTTTTTTACACACTACCGAAAGAACAAGTACTATTTTGTAAGATTTGTGCTACCGCCTCGGAGCTACTTTGGGGGTTTTGACAATTTGCCACATTTCAATAATGGCAGCTGTGTTTGCACTTTGTTTTGTTAACATTTTATTATTTCTGTGAAATCCTACATTTATTGTGACTCTCTAGACGACGGAGGAGTGTGATGGTGACGTGCAGTGGCGTGCGTGAGACCGTGTTTGTTGTTGAAAGTTGGAATATTGCTGTGAAACTAGATGGATCCTTTTCTGACTCACCTTCTCTTTACTCGTCCCGTTACTTTCAAAAAGATGGAGGAGCCGACCATCTGGTTGCTTTGAGCACACGGCGCAGCTCGGCGTGAAGGGCGCTGTGACACTTCAGATCGTTGTGTTTGCGTCGGTGTTGTCGTACGCTCAGACTGTGTGGTAACATCAGGACGACACATTTCAACCATCGACAGCTGGACGACAAATCGAGTTGTGACTGTCTGAGCTGTCGCTTCGTTTCCCGCTCCTGATCGGGAAGTTTGAACTTTGATACGATTCTATAAAAAAACAAAAAATCCACACACAAAACTCAAAGTCCAAGGCGCCTCATATCGTGGAGTTTCTCGTTTTTAATCATCAAAACTTGAAGGTAAACTCCTGCACGCGTCTAAGTACACGATACATTCAGTACCAGAACGCAGTCGAGGATTCATTGTAGGAGAGGAAGTAAGCTCCTGCTCACGGTCTGATGCACGCTGGCAATGTTTCGCTCCTGATGTTTTGCCATCGTTGTTTCAGACGGCGTGCCGCGGTCTGCTCATTGAAAACGACATCTCCAATACTGCGTGCCTATGACGTCTACATTCGGTCTCATTGTATCCAAACAGATATCGATGTCGTTTAATTTTTTACTAGAATCATAACTTAAGTTTAACATTCTGTTACCGTGACAACCCCGACCTAAGGCGTCTCTCACACACGCGACGGTCGTAACGTAACAAACGCTCCAGATGTGCCAAAGTTTGTTTACAGTCCAACCTTTGAGCTCTTTGTGAAACTGAGGTTGAAGAGGATCTGTGCTGCTCGTCCACGTCAGTATTAACCTCAACGAGATCATCAAACGTTAACCCATCTAGCGTCTATGGGCCGCGTGCACTAACCTGTTCTGAACCGCTGCGTCCTGTCGTACCGGACCTGAAACACACATTCAGGTCCGTCTTCGGTCTCGTGCCGAGCTCTTTGGGAAAATAAATGTTCAGTTTGTCTGACTGGAAACGGGCTGCGACGTGTTGATTTTGAAACAGGATGACAAGTGAGCGGAGTGTTTCCAGATGTGCGAGTCACTGCCTGCGTGTGTGTGTGCGTGTGCGCGTGCGTGTCGGTGTGCTACGTGTTCGATGGTACTCCCTGATAGTGTTACGTGAAACTTTTGCAATAGGAAACCTTGGACAAAGGGCCTTCTGTCTGAGTTAGTTGTTGCTTTTTATAAAGTGAAGACTTACCGAGCTTTGATAGGCTGGCTTTTTTTAGTATTGTATAGAAAATATATACAAAATGTATTATTGTGAACCCCCCCCACCACCCCCCCTCTAAATTGAAAGCACAAATAGCTTCCCCTTATTTCTCGACTTAAATGCCAAATATATCTGAGCAGAACTCTTAAGTATGAAGTTAAACACTATTAGACTCGTCTCACTTCGTGATGCACTTTCAGGTGGTTTGGACACGTTCAAGCTCGAACCAGGACGTCGTTTGGTTTGAGGTGAAGTGTTCGAGGTTATTGGAAATGTAAACCACTACCTTTAGTCAAGAGAAGGCCGCTCTTCTGATTCTTGTTTTTTTTTTTAATGACCCTGTTTGTTGGCGGGTTGGAGATCCTGTCAGCGCTGTCTGTTACTTTATGTTTTGCCACTTGATGAAAAAAATAAAAAAAATGGTATTCTGCAGCTATCGCCACACGTGTCGGCCTGTGACGCCACAGCCGAGAGTCTCTGTCTCCTGCTTTGTGAAGGGTTCACTCTCTTCTCGACGTGTGGAGACAAAGCGGGCCGTGGATGGTCATCAGGGCGGCTCTTTGAGGGAATTAACCTTTAAAATGAGGCAAAAAGAAAAGTGTGTTTCGATGTATTTAAACCTCGAGTTTCTTTCTTTGGTTTGCCCTGAACTAGAGGTAGCATGGGAGCGTTTCACAGGACCGGGTCGATGAGTCGGCATGTTCTGTCTCATCACTCCTGCTCCCTGAAACGCCGCCCAGTGTCTTTGCACAAAGCCTGTTTTCAACGACATGACAGTATTTTTAAATTGACCACTAAAGATATGGGTTACTCTGCATGTTTTACTATAGATGTAAATATGTTTTGGATTTTTATATTGTTTTGTTTCTTTCCATTGCTCTCACAAGCAGTTGTGTTTAATAAAAGTTTTTAATCTTCTGTACAAACAGCTCGTCTTTATTCATGGGGTCAGAGGTCATGGTGAGGCCCGAACACATGAACACAGGATGATGTAACACAATCTGCAGTCCCAAACGCGTCCACACACACACACACAGGTGTTCTTAAGCCGAGATGGACGGCAGGTTGACGTAATTCTTCATCCGAGGCAGAGGTTTGATCTTGCGCCCCGCCCAGCCGCCCTTCCTCTGCCACAGGCCGCTGGAAGGACGGATCCCGAGCCAGCGATTCCGACCCGCTTTCCCGATGATCCTTTTGTTGTGGTCGATGTTTGACACCCGTCCCACCGTCACCATGCAGGTCTCCAGCACCTGTACGTGTTTCAAGTTTGAGGCACATCATTTAACGAGTCTGCAGAAACCTTGAATTTTATTTTAAACAAGGTCGTATTGCTACATGTTTCAGAGTCTAAATGGCTAACAGATGCATCCAGTTATCAACTGCAGCAGCAGGGAATCAGGTTGTAATTACCCAGAAGCTCAAGGCTGCAGCAGCTTTCAGCTTTTCACAGCTGCAGGTAAAATCAGGCTTTGAGTTTGAAATTTCTCTTCATTTGATTCCTTTAAAAGGACGCGTTCACACATCCAACTTCCTCATGAAGGAGGACATCAGACTAACATGTTGAACAGAAGAAAATCTTGCTCACTACTCTTACTCGGCACCACAACTTCATTAGAAAAGCAAAAAACGATGCCGAGTAAGAAGTGTGCAGGATTCTTCATTTGATTCCAAAATGCCTAAACGTAAACTCCAGCACATTATCTGACCAGAAAACAAACAGTTACAGGTAACGTTTGGGTCCTACACCTTCATCGGGCACACATTCCAAAATGTCTAAAAACACGGTCAGAGGTCCAAACGCGCAGCCTCACCTGAACCTGCTGCTTTGAAGGAAGCTGAACGATGGCGGTCCCGTTGACTTTCCGCAGCAGAACGCCGCTCGTACCTGAAGGTCAAAGGAAAACATTGAGGTCAGGAAGGATGAAGAGTGAGCTCACTTCATAATATACATAGCTATAGAATAATAAATCATCTAAATGCACTCTAAACATTTAAAAACCACCAGATTCAGATCAATACAAGGAGAATTCTTTTTGACGGATGTTCCTTTAAAAGAACAAATCTCTCTCTGCCCCTGCTAAAATTCAATTGCAGCACTTTTCTTTGTCCTTTCATTAATAGGACCCTTTTTTGTTATTTTGATTTGTTTGTTTTTTTTACATGCACTTCCTTTGTTTAAATTGTGCGCCTCATCACATCTGAGAGTGGAAGGTCACTGTTCAGGAACGTTTTAAAAACGTCTTTAACCAGCCGTGAGCCTTAATAAACAAACGGTAACAAAGAGTCTCAACATCAAACACATGTGAGTGATTATAGATCACCTGCAGCTCGGATGTACTCTGATCCTTTCCCGGGTTGGATCTCCAGGTTGTTCACCAGGGTCCCCACAGGAAGCGCTCCCAGCGGGTACGCATCGCCCTCACTGGCCGAAACTGTGAAGTCAAATAAAAAAACACTGAAAAAACCAAACAGACTATCGGCTCCATGTAAAGTCGGAGGATGGACCTCGTACCTGCCATGCGTCCGATGACTCCGGAGGTTTTGATGATGTCTCCGGCCTGCATGTTCTCTGTAGCGATGATCCACCGTTTACGGTTTCCTCCGGCGACCAGAGCGATGTTGGCAGACCTGAGGAGACGATTCATGTTATCGTACGTTCTTGACTTTTTTTTAAATCAGACACAGTCCTGTATGGTGAAGCTGATCTCACCTGCAGGGGTCGTATCGCACTTCAACGACCTTCTCGTCAAACGGCTTGACCTCTCTGTCCGCTTCGTAGCGCAGTCGCTGAAAATCGACCATGCGGTATCTCTGTTTGTGACCTCCACCGATGCCGTGTGTGCGGATCCTTCCTGTTCGGGAGAAGAAAAAAAATGGAGAAGCAGCTCTTTAAGGATCCTTCACAGGATGCTGGAAGCTTCCTGTCTGTGAGCGATCAGGTGAGGCGTTGACCTTTAGCCCACGCCGTTTACCTGAGTGATCTCGGCCTCCCGTCTTCTTCATGCCAATCGGTCTGACGGTGTACTTCTCTATCTGCTTCCAGTGAGTCCTGTTCTGACTCAGAGCGGCTGTGGTGAGAAAGCCTCTCACCTGTACGGCTGTACTGGACACCTGAGCTCCCAGTTTAGTCTGCGCGCCCGTCTGTCAACACAAGGCAAAAAAGACGTTTTAGTTTGAGATGCTACGATGACTCAGATCCTCGGTATGAATGACACACAGTTCATATTCACCTGCGAGGAGAGCAGAGCATGCTGGGAGAGAGTCAGGGAGCGCAGGGCTCGAGTCAGACACGTCACCGCCGCCATCATGACAACATCCACGCCTGTCACACCTGAGGAGCAGAGGAAGTTCAGACAATAATCATGAGGGCTAATCCAAAGAGAGCAGAGGATGTGAGCTTTGAGACGAGGCATGACACGTATTAAACATCATCAGAGTCCTGTACTGAACATACACTGTGAAAGAACACAGACATAACAGTGACCCAACAAAATAAAACAGAGTCAGTGTCAGTACCGAGGAAACAACAAGAGCTTGAAATCAACACAACACTACCGACAGTCTGCTCTTTTCTCTTCTTAATCTAGTTTAATTCATGTTAACTTCTAATCAAACCTTTAATCACGTTATAATGTCTTAAACCTCCCCACACTGTCTCCCTCTGACTGCAGTAACCTTCCTGTTTCCAATGTAAACCTGAAGCTACAGCTAGCTTAGCATTACCCCAGCGAGTGAGGCTCGTTTTGCCTTTTAAGTTTTTACCTTTTCTGTTCAAATGAACTCTAGATAACCGGTTAGTTCCTTTATATCGGTTCCAGTCTTACGAATAATTATATTGTATTAGAAAGATTAAACCAACCTTTATATTTGTCGTGATTTCATCCCACTCCTCTCACCAGCGTCCTTCACAGTTTCCTGCACGCTGCGGCGCAGAGTGATGACGTAGGTTTCCGGATCCCGAGGCTCGTTTTTAATGTTTCAGGATGTAAAAGTTTAAAAGTGAATCAGGATTTATTTTATTAACATCTAGGTGTTTAGTCTGCTTTTTAATGAGCTAACGGTTCAGTCACGTAACAAGTCTGACGTTTTTTATTTTTTTTATTTTGACAGTTGTTTTAAATGTGGCCACGAGGTGTCAGGATTACATCACGTGTCAGTATTTATTTATTCATTTATCATTTTTAAGTTACAAATAGGCATTTAAACTGTTGAATATTTCACAAATTACTCCAAGCAGAATTTTAGATGATAAAATAAAAGTATAAAAACCAAACTGACAAGAAAACAAGAAAACAAAAACGTATAATAACTTAAATTAAATAAAAGTAAATTCTATTAAAATGAAATTAAAAGTGGGGAGCTTCAATCAATGTTAAACTTAAGTAATTCAAAGACAACTTGAAAAACACTGAAAGAAAGATTTTCACGTCGTTTTGAAACACTACAAATTTTGTAATAAAATGTATATTTCTATATAATTCGATATTAGTTTAGAAAAAGTGAACAAATCTATATATTTTTTAACTGATGTGAAAATGATTCATCATGAGTCAAAATGAGCCAACAACTGTAAAACTGTGCATGACGACATATATCTTATAATATATATATATATATATATATATAAAAAAACATCTGTTTGTTGAAGTGCAGACCAGCCTGTAGACGCAAAACAAAACATGACGTCACCATTCATCAACTTAGCCGCAAAGGCTGCTGGGAGGTTGTGTCTGTGCCGCAGACATTTTGGATCTAAAGGGGCTGAGCCGTCAGTCCTAGCTCTCGGTAAGTGCTGGCTTTATTTTTCCGTACTTATTTAAACTAAGTTTAGCCTGTCATGTAATGTAGAGTGTGTATCTAAGTAGCTTTAGATTAAGATACAAATAAAAATAAATATGTGTCTTCTCTTTGTCTTAAACGGGGTCGGTGATCGTAACTAGCAGGGAGTGGTGATGCTAGTTGGTTAGCCGTTAGCTGACCGGAGCTTTAAACGGATCATCAACAAACCTCTCTGTGACAAATAATTACCTTCTTAATATCAGGTCTGTTCATTTAGTTTTTTTCTAGTGAACACAAGACTCCGTTACAGCTCCTCTCGGCTCTCCTCTTCATCTGATCATTTAGTTTAATGTAGCATCGACCTTTGATTGAGCTCGTGATGGCCTTTGATTAATAATGAGCACGGAATAATTACAGATATTAAATTAACTCCTTTTTATCAGTCCCATACTTTGACAATGTATATCTATCATTACACAATCATATTGACCGATAACGTTTTATAGGAAGAAATCCAAATGAAAGCTGATTCATCTTTAATTCATTGAAAATAGGCTCAAATTAATTTAAGAAAAAATAGGATATTCGATATGCCTTATTTTAATTTACCAATTTAGAAAGTAGGTCAGTTGTTTGTCAGATATAGAGTCTATAAAACCTGACCATTTGAGGTGAAAAGACCCCTCAAAGCGCCATCGTGAACTCATGACGTCATAAAAGATGAATTTATCAGTTTACTAATAAGAAATACAATAACCATAAAACTCCCAAAGGAAGGCCCTGTCCCCTTTACCTACCAGCCGGGTGTTTACACATGTTGTGACGATCCAAGATAATGTATAATTTATTAAGCACATTTAAAAACAACAAAACTCTCTGTACAATAATACACAATCAAAGTCAGATTAATGTAAAAACAGCAGGGCAGGAGAAGGACAAAGTGTTCAGACTGATAGGAAGTGATAAAAGGAATAAAAGCTAACTCAGAGGCATAAAGGTAAAGTCTCAGTGAGAGGCCTTGATGTGTTTAGTGTTGGAATAGTTTGAGGATCAAGAATAAGGAGGAAAGGCAGCACGACACAAAAAATAAAACTTCAACATCTGTCCAAGAAGGAGAGTAATGCTCGTATGTGTTCAGGCTGTGACGCAGGTCTGCATGCTGCTTTACAGAGAAAGATCAAATCAGTGATTTATTTAAATGGTTTGATGTTCTCATTTTGTAAACAGTTAAATATTCTATCTAGAGTAAATTTACAGTTTCATGAGTTTTTATTTAAAACAGTTAAAGGTTCGTCTCGTGTTGACAACTGCCCCAAATACAGGCAGGGTCATTTCATAGCCCGAATCAAACAAAAGTGTCTGTGGCTCAGCGATAGAGTCAGTCGTGACTCAACCGGAAGGTCATGGGGTTCGATCTCAGGCTCCTGCAGCCACATGTCCGATGTGTCCCTGGGCCAGACACTTAACCCCGAGATGCTCCCGCTGCTTTGTCTGCATATGAATGTGTGTGAATGGGATTAGTTACTTGGCACGGTCACTTAGCATAGAAACCTGTACCGTCAGTGGAATGTGTAGATGTGACCTGCGGTGTGAAAGTTCTTCACACTGCAGTAGTCAGAAGACGAGGGAGTGCTATACAAGCTCAAGTCCATTTAGCATTACCACAAGCCCGGGCTACTCAAGAAGTTTCATGGTCAGATGAATGATGGACCACATCGTAGTTGGTTAATGATCTGATGTTATTTGCAAATGTAACTAAGAGTCCCTGTTTTGTGTCCAAGGCCGGTGAAGGTGTGCAGAATGATCTGTTTATATGTCCATTGTCCCAGAACCATTAACATACAGCTGTCACAATGTCCATATAAATCAGATAACTTTATGTAAGACTGGTGCTATACTTGCTATCCCTTTTTACATCGGTATAAAAATGTTGGCGGACATTTTCATACGTCTCTCGGTGTAAAAGCAGACCTCTCGCAGCTGGTTTCAGTGATGCATGACTGTGGACAGCGTCAGTGACACTTCCCTCATGCCTGTCCCCCGGCCCTGCCACACCCTGCTGGTTTGCAGGCTCCCCTTTGTGTCTGGAAGTGATGTGGATGGTGTGTTGGGTCGTTGTTTGTGCAGGAAACGGAGGAAGATTAGGTGATCTATTGATGTCGAACTTCACCAGGTCAACAGGAAGTGCGTCTCTGGGGAGGTGGCACAGAGAGATCAGACGCTGCACTCTGCTTTTTCCATTTCCCATGTTAGTCTTTACCGATTAAAAAAACATCAGGTACCACACCCTCTGTCTCACAGGCTGTTTTCAGAGCTTGTGCTTGGCATACTATTTGATCTTAAAGGCTTGTTTTGAGGAGTTTGCTTCAGTAAAATGCTCAATTTACGCAGGACAAATATTAACATTTATAAGTAGTTTGGCTTAATATAAAATCTATGGTTTGCAACAATGCAGCAGAAAAAGGAGAGAGGAAAGTCTTTTTCCTGCCTTTGTAACACTCAATGTGCAATGAAACTTGAAAATATTAAATGCACACACATGCACAATTCAGGGTTACTCAGTTGATCCTCCTGTTGAGATCAGTGTGCTGAAGCTCAATCGATTTAAAAAGCTGTGTTGCAGTGATGTCAGGGCGGAGCGAGGAGCAACGAGTGACTGAGTGATGATGCTGTCTTCCAAAGGGAGATGTGATGATGTGAATCTGAGACCTCTGGAGAATAATGAAGACTGGAGCTCTGAGGAAAATAAACCTGTCGATACAGAGTCCACCGAGTGGCTCCTTTAAACCCAGAGCTGCCTTTCATAACACTCGTCTCTCCTCCTGGCTTTGTACTGGCGTCTGAGACAGATATACTTTGATTGCTGCAATGTTGTATGACCTTTGGTCCCCTTGCTAGGTTGAGTCATCTATCTAGTCTATAAAGATGCACCTTCTTGATTCGCCTCATCAGAACACCATCATATAAAGCATATATGAGCTTCTACAAAGATTTATTTTCATGAGGAAACAGCATTTTGATCACGTCATGAAGATGTTTTGGTGTTACAGGTAGAGCTTTTTGCTTTAGCATGATTACTGAACAGATCCAGGCTGGGATTCTTGTGTGTTTTGGTTCACTAATTCACAAATTTACATTCTTCAAGAATCACTAAAACTCGTCAAAGGATTGTTTCAGTGCAGGTCTTTGCTTTCGGGCCGTGGTCGTCAAAGTATCGTCCCTCGTCTCTTTTGGCCCTCAGGGAGCAGGAGATCTATGGACTGATATTTGATTTGTGATCATGAAGAGATTCATTTTTATCTTGTAATCATGAAGCCGACAATTTTCTGTTCAGCCCTGTTCTATTGGGCCGTTCGCAGGTTGTATATTTGACGATTGCAGCTCTCATTCATGAGTGTTTAATGTGTTAAAATGTTCCTTTCGCCTGTTTTTCGAAGGTTGGAAATGTGTATTTTGAGTCGGCACAGCAGACAGTTATTGGTTTGTGGAGCTGTGATATTTTCAGTCTTAGCAGAATGAGACAGTAGATTTAAACCTCTCATCCTTGGCGTTATGTGAGCCTCCTTTTGAGCCTATAAATAGTGTAATCAAGCCTCTCCATCCTGCCACATAAGACCTCCTCCTTTGTGTCTGATGAGTGCAGAGGAGCAGAGCCTCGATGAGGACAGCTCCCTCCCCCCACCCGACCTGCTCCTCCACACTCCCGCTGTGGGTGGGGCCGTCTCTCTCTCTCTCGATGTGCGCTGATGGTGTTCTGACAGAGCAGAGGGAAGGTCATCAGTCGCCTGCGAGCTACTCCCCCACCCTTCTCCTCCTCTCCTCCGTCATCAGCATCCACCTCTCTCTCATTCCTGTCCGGTTTGTTCTTCCCGTTCTACTCCGTCTCTCGGAGAATGTCTCCCTTTTTGTTTCAAGAAGCCTCACTTTGGATTAGCTCAGCAGTTTTCTGATGCGCTGTGCTGGCGTGCAGCGCTATAGCTGGAGGAGGAGTCATTATCTCATCAGCCTTTCTTCCTGCCAAACGATGATGCTGATCTGCCAGTGAAACCGAGGTTAGTTTTCTGGTCCAGCAGACGAAAACAGGTCCAGCTCGGAGGATAGATGGCTCCACCCTCTAGCAGGCTATTATTGGTTGTTAAACATCAACATTCATCTCGGTTATTTTGTTGTTTTATTAGTCAGGAAATGAAGATCAATGCAGACTGTTTTGAATAAGTTGCTTCACGCTAACGCCCCTTTTAGCATAAAGGATCCGATTGTATGTTGAATAAAATTCTCCATCTGTTGCTTAGAGCCCTGAATCAACGGGACATCTGTCAGAGCAGCACGCCGCATCTTTGCTGCATGTTTGTTAAACGAGAGAACGAGGATATCTAGACTGAGGGATTCGTTGAAAATCGTCTCCTCGTTGTGTTTATGTGTTTACTTTCTGCTTGATTTTAAAAAGGTGAACACTTCTCCTCCCTGGCTCACACGATGTTTAGAAACATTGTGTAACATTTTATAACGATCAGTCCTGCACCTGATCATGACGGCATGTCATGACAACCCAAAGCCAGTACATTTTTGCTGCTGGTGTATCCTGTTATATGTGATGAGTAGGGTTGTGATGATACCAGGTTTTTAAACTTCTATATGATTCTAGTACAAATCAAACTATTTAGATAATGTTTTGATACCACGCCACCCGTCCCAGGCATCTAAACGGTTTAAATTGGACAAAGACATTGTCGACATTTACAGAGACGTTATTTATGTGCAATTCAGACAGTTTGAAAGAGTTTGCCTAAATTTCTGATGTATTTATTCCTTTACTACACACCTGTCCTTTGAGATGGATGGTTTAAAAAAAAAAGTTTTGGTACTTACTAAATGGTATCTACAAAAGTATTAGAAAATGTATCGGATTATACTTACAGTTCAGTTCAGCAGAAAGCGACATCATGAGCTGGTTCTTAATTTGAGTTTTTAATGTAGCCAGGCCTTTTTATTTTATGTTAGAGGAGCACTATGTAACTCTGACACCTAGTGTTTAAAATGGGTACTGCAGTCCAAATTCAAAACATTGTAGAGAGCTCCTCTCTAGAGTGGATGCTCACACAGGTCACCATGTGGTGGACACTGAAGCTTCAGTGTTTATCCAGCTCTGCATCGGTCTGTAAACCTTTCTGTGTTCTAACCTCTCTCCATTTTTCAAAAGCATCTCCAATATTGATCCTAGTTTGAGCACGTTTCTGCTCGTGGAGCTTATTAGAAACATGCAGAGGCTTTTTAGGTCGGGTACAATCACTTCTATCTGAACCACTTCTCTTGCCCGCTTCCATCACTGCAACACCTGTTGGTTTGACCTGATAACTGCTCTCATATCTGACAAACTGAGGGGCGTCCAAAACGGCCGTGTGGGGGTGCCTTAAAACCGTCTACCTTCTCTGGTCCAAACAAATCCAGAGCATTCAGGAGCAGAATCTAAAGTTAGAAGGAGGACATACTGGCTGCTGCATTGTTGTCAGAGAAGCCAGCACTTCAACATAACATGTTTCCTTAATGTCTGATCATATAATAAGGTACCTTTAGCATCTCACACATACTTACTTACTGATTGGACCTTGGATTTTTATGGTGCTAGTGTTGGTTTTTCATTAGTTCCACATGAATGCTGTGAAAAACAAAAAGGTAAATGTTAAAGATTAATTTGTACGATGTTATTTTCAAAGACAGACAAAGAGCCTGTTGGACTTTATCTCTGAGCTCCAGCTGTCAGAAGAGACGCATTCATACAGGTGTGTTTCTGTTTCATCAAGGTGAAGCTGCGTGTTTCTCTCCTGGCTGACATGAAAGCATGTCTTCTCTTTGTTAATAGCTGTGTGTGTTTGTGTTTCTGTGTGTGTTCTCAGCTCGTGAGGCTTTTCATCCTCACGGGTGTTAAACTGAAGCGCCTCAGAGAAAGAGTTGGGCTCATAAGTTCTCTGTTGTGTGATTATGATTGATCTTTCAAAGAGATCTTTTCATATCGCTTTGGCGCCGAGTGTTTTCAGAAATGTGCTGAATGCTCCCCGTTGAAGAGCTACGTCCTTCTTGTCTTTGTGAAGTTAGAGTTTTTATAATCCTCCTCCTGACTTCTCTCTCTGTGCTCATGCAAACACAGGATTTGTTTGAGGCCTGTCGGTCGACTTTTATGTAAAGCAGACTCTGTTTGCTGAAAGAATCTCTTAGAGTCACCTGTGTTCGCTCCGTGTTTCTTTCATGTTAAGTTCTCTTTAAAACGTGTCTCTTCTTGCCCGCTGAATAATTTCACAGTCAGCACATTTTCCTGCTCTGCATGCTGGCAGCAGCTGAACGTATGCCCTCTGGTCATTTTGTTTTTGGGAAACTAAAAATGTGCACACAGAACTACTACACAACCTGTTTAATGTTAATGAATTATAAGCAGAGCTGCTTTCTTTGCTGTTAATAATTGCCCTCAATTTAGTCCTTCTGATTTACATTCTTCAGGAGCAAACACCAGGTCACATGCTTCAAGATTTGCATGAAGGATTATTTTTTAAAGCAAAAGTGCTTCCAATGAAGAGCTCAAAGGAAGAATGTGCGACATGTGACACATAAATATATCAGACATCAAGTCTATCCTGTGTAAATGTGTCTCTGAGTCATGACTGTCTACAATGAGTGAGAAGCTCGAGTCCTGCTGGCTGTGTTGTTGTCAGAGCCGTGTTTACATGGACGGGCCGGCTCCTCCCCTTGTGTGTAAAAGCTGTTTTAGTCAAAGACTAGAGAGAAGAAGAAGAACATACTCACTGATTATTTGGATGTTAGGAAGAGTTTTTAGATCACGCTCATTCTGTGTAAATTTACATGCAATGTGAAGCTATGAGCTAACTAAAGAGTGCTAACATTAGTATGCTAACACAACAATTCAGGACACAGGTGATTGCATCTCGAGCCGGGGTAATTTTGTTTACTGCTTCCGTTTAACTCCTTCATACAATCAGCAGTTTGTTTTGGTTTCATGCTGGTGCTCAAAGGCGACACCTACTGGATCGAAAAGCTGCACATCCTGTAATGTAATCGTAATTTGAGTTTCTGACCACATCGTGCAGCCGTTATTCATTTCCACAAATCTGTTTAGTAGAAAGAGGAAATAATCAAGGAGTAGTTGGCGGCTTTTCTTTCCATCTTGAAGCATTTTCAGAATTCTTGAATGGATTTGAATAAGCGGCTTTAAATCAGAAGCTTTTTACTGGGGGAAAAGAAAAAAGAGTTGAGATTTTTTTTTTACCTGAAAGCAGCAGAGATGGAAAGATCTTCTCAGCATCGTCACATCGTCGTTTTTGTTTACCTGATACAGTTCACACTCGATCTCTGCAGCTCTCCCATGGTCCTGAACCTCCGGCTGGTCGTCTGCATGCTTCACTGTCGTCCTGATCACAGATCGTTAATTGACTTCAGTGTCCGTGTTCACGTGCCTGTCTCGTGTCCATCATGAAGAATATTCTCCTCATAAATAATCCTCCGCTGACGGAGCACAGCTGTGATGACATGATGTGACATGAATAACTCAACAGGAGGAGGTTAATGACTGGCTTCAAGCTAAAGACTCAGTCAGATCTGTCGTCTGTGCTCGTGTGTTTCTGCTCGTGCAATAAGAAGTTTGAGTTTGAAGCTGATAAATTCAGTTTCCCCAACGTCAGAGCTGCGAGATGCACTTAAAAAACTCTTGTGGTGAACTCTTGTGGCCAGAATATGACAGCAAACTCCTTGAAACATTCACCACACGTTACAAAACCTGTGGACTAAACGAGTGTGAGACTCAGTGTCACACTCGTTTAGTCTGCAGTGACTGCGTTATTTTGTTTCATGATCGTGGGAAGACAAAGTCGTAATTAAAACTCTATTAATTGACCTGACACAGGTTAATTAATTCAGAAATATTCTGTATTTGCAGCACTCCGATGTTAATGCTCATGTTTTGACGTAGTGATGAAAAACCTTAAACAGGTTATGAAGCTTCTTTAATTCCAGCTCTGGACTTGATCAGCACCGACCATCATCATAACAACAAAGTGTTTCTAGCTTTTGTTTCAGTCGGTGTTGGTCCTTGAATGATGTCAATATGTTTCTTTAACAGACAACAGCTGAAAGCATGCAGCAGAGCAGGGCGTGGCTGACTGATGGTGTAGTTTATTTGGCTCCTGGCGGATGGCTCTCAGCTGGTGTTTGTTACAGAGAGCTCCCTTCATCCTCCACCCTCCTCCTTCACCCTCGTCCTCCACCCTCATTCTTCGCCCCCGTCCTCCGCCCCTAATCCTTCACCCACCCTCGTCCTCCACCCTTATCTTTCACCCTTGTCCTTTCTCATCCTTCACCCTCATCCTCCACCCTCGTCCACTCTGCTGCCAACATACAGAGCACTTTCCTCACATTATGTGGACCCTGGTCTTGAGCGCAGGGCTGCTTTTTTTCCTCTGACATTTACTCGATGTGGTCGACATTGACGTGGCTCTCTGAGTCATGGGTTATGTTCAGACTGTTTGGGGATAATAACAGACGTTCCCTGCAGTCACCGAAGGGCTGACATTACTTCAGAACACCGTGTGATCGACACAGGGTTGTGTCTGAGTCTCAAACAGCTGCTCAGCTATATCACTGAGGCTTTTGTAATGTCATCCTCTCCCTGACTGCAGCCGGCGAGGCCTCTGTTTGGATAGAATGCTGGCACCCGAAGGCTCCCTCACTGCAGCATCTGTGTGCCCTCTGTTAGACTGAGAGCTGCAGCCTTTCTCTCAAACCAGAGCTTATTATACCCAATCCCAACAGTCTGTCCTCCAGAATAATGTGTCCCTAGACCGTGCATAAAGCAGATATTCTACACATGTCTTTAATTTTTATGTCCCAATTTGTGCAGCCCTCAGAGCGTGGTCTAGTTAAAGCATGTTTTATTGAAGCCAGTTTCTGTCTTGCATTTTAAACTGCATTTCACTCTGAATTTGTCTCATTTAGCAGAACGAAAAACTGCTGATCACTCACAATAATGGAATTTGAATCGCTAACCTCCCCGCTGTGATATAACACAAGTTTAATTTTCTTTTATGGCTGGTTTTATAGTGGATCTCATTAGAGGAGCAGAGAAACATTGTGTATGTCAGCTTCAAAACCAGAGCTCTGCACGGTCACACTCTGATGTCTTTAAACCGATAATAGGAAGTAGCTCCTGTCATGTCATCTCAGGAACAATTCCTTCAGATGGTTAATACTGTGTGAAAACTGTTTGAAGTTGCTTTCATTGAGTTTGAAGAGATGTGTTTGAGTATTTCAGTGTAAAACAAGCACAGCTGCATGTGGAGGACGGTTATGAAAATGTCCTCTAATGTTGCAGCTGTTGTTGTTCAAATATTTTCACAGTATCCAGTGGAATATCTGTTGTAACAGCCGGTTTGCTTTTCTTTTTTTTCTTCTTTTTTTTTAATTTGTTCAGGTTTCCCAGAGCTACGTAGAACATGTCCACTATGGTGTATCCACGGGAAGAGAAGCTGGAGAAGCTCTCTCAGGAGGAGATCATCTCCAACACCAAGCTGGTGATCCAGGGTCTGGAGGCTCTGAAGAACGAGCACAACTCCATCCTCCACAGCCTCCTGGAGACCATCAAGTGCCTGAAGAAGGATGAAGAGGCCAACCTGGTGCACGAGAAGTCCAACCTGCTCCGCAAGTCGGTGGAGATGATCGAGCTGGGCCTGGGGGAAGCTCAGGTAAGACGGGTTCTAACAACTTTTTTTTCTGCTGGGTCAGATTCAGGCAAAGTGAATGACCAGATGTAGGCTGGAAAAGTCCTATGTTTACGTTTTTTATGACAATTAGTCGTACTTTAAACGATTACAGACAGAATGAGAAAAATAAACATCCATATGCAGGACTTTCAAAATCAACACATGTAGATTCCTGATGGAGTTGATGCGATACTAACACCTTTACTGCCTCAAATGTAGTGTCAGGTATCCACAAACTAGTTAATGCACCGAGCTAATACAGTAAATTATCAGGGCCGTTATATGACAATAAGAACAACGACGGTGTGGCTCCAGCAGACAGGGTTTGTTAGATTAGGAAATCTGTTTTTTACACCAAATAAATTTTTACTCAACAAACTAGAGTCAGCGGGGAATTCAGTATGGACTGCGGGCCTGTGTCCACCTGGTGTTTTTTGTTGCGTTCTTGGATGAAGCGCTGACAATTAAAGCGCTGCACGTGTGTTTTGTCTCTATGGCAACAGTCTCCTGACCAACTGACCTAACCCTGTGTAACCGACGCTGCTGCGCTTTGCTTTTTACTGCATGTTTTTATTTTTCAGATTTTTCTTTTTCACTTTGCTATCAGCATCAAACGGAGGATGTTTTTCTTCTTCCTTTGCCTGGATGATGAGATTAATAATAATGACGGCCTCGCTTTCACGGCTACGATCGGACATGTAGAAAGAAGACACGGAGAGAGACACAAATAAGAGGAATATTGTACATTTTTAAAAGAGGGCCGGGGACGTAAACACTGCCTTTCTGAAAAGTTGACAGATTTTCAACTAGAAGCGCTTGAAGCAGTTGCACGAAAGGGGCGGAGCGTTCAGAAAAAGAACACTGCCCGCTGTGCCTTTCTCAGGGTGGCCGCCCGCTGCTCCAAACGCTCTCTCCTGATTGGGAACAATTGAAAAAAGAAGCAGGCATTCAGAAAAACACCAGGTGTGCAGAGACGGCCCTAATACTATAGTTTTGGCATCAGAATCCGTTAAGAAGAAAATAAATATAAAATAACACACACACATGCTGAGTGTGTTTCTGCTTCCTCTTTCTAAACTGAGTGTGTGCTGTGACCATGATTCACTCACATCAGCCTCAGATCGTGCTCTCTTAACTTGCTGCTGCTTCGTCCTCCGTTAAATGAGACTTATCTTTGGCGCTGTCTCCTCTCCAGGTGATGATGGCCCTGTCCAACCACCTGAACGCCGTGGAGTCGGAGAAGCAGAAGCTGCGTGCTCAGGTGAGGAGGCTCTGCCAGGAGAACCAGTGGCTGCGGGACGAGCTGGCCAACACCCAGCAGAAGCTGCAGAAGAGCGAGCAGAGCGTGGCCCAGCTGGAGGAGGAGAAGAAGCACCTGGAGTTCATGAACCAGCTCAAGAAGTACGATGAGGACGTCTCACCCACTGTAAGTACAGACTCTGATTCAAGTCAAAGTCCCTCTCTAATAAGTAAGCAGGGCCATTATTTCTGGGTCGGTTATTCATGTTAAATACATTTTATTGCATCAGTTTGTTTGTCATATTAATAACACGTAAAATCCTGAACCTATTTCTGTGTAAATCTGCCTTAAAAGGAGACGTCTTCTTCTTAGAGACATTAAGTGTGATTGATTTCCAATACTGGAGAGAGAAAACTGTTATTTCTAATTCCGGGAACGAGTCTCTCTGCTCTGGTCTTCATTGATCTGTTGGTGGGAATGAATCGCTGATAAATACTTTCCTTATTTTAAGACACAAAAGACCATGTAAAAGCCTGAATCCATTAACTGCTCGAGAAGTAGCCTGAATGGTCGTTATTCCTCTTCTGGAAGCTCTCAACATGCTGCCGCCTGACCCTTAACATGAGCTGAAATCTCATGTAGCCCTCCTCGTGCAAAAAGTCGTACTTCATGGAGGTTTTCTGTAGGGGTCGACCGATGTTTGCTTCTCAGGGCCAAAACGAGACGTGATACAGAAGATTCCTGAACTGTGATCTGTGATGTTGCTGCCTGTAGAAGGTCGGGCTGATTTGAATGTTTGTGTTGTCGTCTCAGCAGGAGGAGAAGGACCGAGAGACACCGAAGGACTCGCTGGACGACCTCTTCCCCAACGACGAGGAGGAGCACGGCCAAGGAAGTAAGAACGACAGAACCAAGCAACTCAGAACAACATTAGTTAAATGAGCTATATCACTGGGTACCTGATGTTCCATTTTAAACATGATTGAATTATTGTGTAATCTGTTTACTCCCTGAAGCCTCAGTATTCTGTTCATGTTGATGTAGTTAGAGATATAATCAGCTCAGCGCATTTAGCATCCCAGCTGACCTTTGACCCGCCTGTGTGACCTCCACAGTGCAGCACCAACACAACAGCGCTGCCGTGGCTGCAGCCCAGCAGGGAGGCTACGAGATCCCCGCCCGCCTGAGAACCCTGCACAACCTGGTGATCCAGTACGCCTCCCAGGGCCGTACGAGGTGGCCGTCCCGCTCTGCAAGCAGGCTCTGGAGGACCTGGAGAAGACCTCTGGACACGACCACCCCGACGTGGCCACCATGCTCAACATCCTGGCTTTGGTCTACAGGTCAGCAGGGTCTCCATGTGGTGGCTTTAGCAGCTTTTCACCAACACACTCCTGCTATGGCTGATTTTGTCAGGTTGCCTTCCTTTCTGAAACATTCAGTCTCATCATTTTCTCCTGTCTCACCCGTGCAGGGATCAGAACAAGTACAAAGAGGCCGCCCATCTGCTCAACGACGCTCTGTCCATCCGGGAGAAAACACTCGGCAAGGACCATCCCGCTGTAAGGCTCCACTGTCGTCACGGCAACGTGTTCGTCATGTGAACACGTCCAATGTTCAGACATTAGTTTTAATTCATCCGATTAGTCACCTGGTGTTGGTCCAAGAAGGATCAGTCAACAGGGAGGCAATAACTGCACAGTTGTCTGTATTTACCGGCTGACTCTGTCAGTGTGTGTGGATTCATCTCCACTATTACAGTATTGATCGTGTTCACCACAGGGCTGCAGGCTTTAAAGTAATCAATCAGAACTACTCAGTGTTTGCTCATACATCGAGAAAATCATAAAATCCTTCCAATCACAAAAGACTACAGATGGGCACACCTTGAAATAAACCAGATTCATCACCTTTAAGGACGGAATTGTGAGAATCGATTGACACTGTGGCACCTTGTAAAGCTCGAAGGAAGCTATTAAAGCTCAGTGTTAGACCCTGCAGCTCACAGCTCGCCTCATATTGTTTCACCTGTCAGGTCACTTCCATCCTCTGAGATCTAGAGGCTCTGAGCTTCTTGAAAAGGTTTCTTGATTCCTTGGGCATAACTTAGAGACAAAGGCACATAAGTCCCTGATATTGTGACGCTTCACTGCCAGTAAAAGAGCCGAGCACAGGACAGGAAGTTGCTTTGTTTACGTTGTCTCTGTTTATGTTCTTTCCAGGTTGCTGCAACGCTGAACAACCTGGCCGTTCTGTATGGCAAGAGAGGGAAGTACAAGGAGGCCGAGCCGCTCTGCAAGAGAGCTCTGGAGATCAGAGAAAAGGTAGGCCACGTCTCTGGATCGCATCGGTCCACAGCTCTGCTATCCAGGCCTCATCTCAAGGCTAAACCAGCTCCTAGAAATTAGCTAATTAACAGGGATAATACTTTCCACATGTCAGCTGCAGACTGTAACAGCAGCAACTAAAAATAGGAAAAAGAGCAAATCGTTTTCCTAAATTATCCGTGAAGATTCCTCTGAGGGGCTTTCCCAAATCAGGGGGGAGTTTCAGGGTTTAATTGAGAGCACAGCTGAAAGTGGATGGAGGAGGCATGACAAAGCTTCAGAGCGCTGCAGGATGCAGTGAGTCTCTGTTTTCATGAAGCTCTATTCTGTTCCCTGTTTATCGATCGACCTTTTATTAGATCTCCTGAGCGTCTGCAACAGTAGAGAGAGATGCAGCGAGGGAGTCAAATGCTCTGAGACATAATCTGAAATATGAATCCAAATATTCCCCTCTTGTCTTCCGTTAGGTGCTGGGGAAGGACCATCCAGATGTGGCCAAACAGCTGAACAACCTGGCTCTGCTGTGTCAGAACCAGGGCAAGTACGAGGAGGTGGAGTACTACTACTGCCGGGCGCTGGAGATCTATGAGTGCAGGCTGGGCCCTGATGATCCCAACGTGGCCAAAACCAAGAACAACCTGGTGAGAGACGAGTTCACACATCCACATCTGCTTCCTTTAAGTTACACTTTCACTGTAATTAGCTAGGTCCCGCCGCCCTGGGAAGCAACCCTCATTTGTGCACCTGACTCAAGCCGGTTCCTTTCCTGCAGCTTTTGTTCATGTTTTCTTATTTTCCTTCCCTCTGTTATTGAACCATGATGGAGACGCTGCGTGGAGACAGTAGAAGAAGCTCAGTGCCGCTACACAAGTCCCAGCTGACAGGAGGAACACACAGGCTGCTGCTGCTCCTCGGGGGCCGCTCTGTGTGTCAACAGGACCCGTTTGATCCAACACTAAACCGCTTTGTCTGTCGTCTTTCTTCCTCAGGCATCCTGCTTCCTCAAACAGGGAAAATACAAGGAGGCTGAGATCCTGTACAAAGAGATTCTGACTCGTGCTCATGAGAAGGAGTTTGGATCTGTGGATGGTAAGGCCTCGCAGCAGCTGAACAGTTTAAAAAGGGTTGAAGATTAGCTTTAAGTCAAAGTAGAAACACTAATAATAAATTCTAGAGGAGAGGTGGTGGGTACCATGAAAATCCAGATTGTCATTTTCTGATCTTTCGCCTGTTGTTTGTCTCACGCCAGCGAGCACGCTCAGTGACGGACAGATGGTTTAAGTAAAACAATCACTCGACTCAAATAATCCAAACAAACAAGCAATAAAACAAGTTTATTTGTCATGAAGATGAACTCTTGCTATTTTTTCTTGGCTCAGTTTTTCATTTGGCGTTTCTTCTCCGAGGATTAGATCGACCGCTTTCAGAGGAATAAAAGGACGCTCCATGCTATTGTCATATTTCAGAGCGGATTATTTTTCTTCTGTCACTGAACTTGAAAGTAGAGAGATTGTATTTTATTTTATTTATTAGCCTCTCTTAGGGAGTTAAAGGGGAGCAGCAAGGAGTCTGAAATATCTGTTTTGAGTTACAGATAAAAAAAATTTATTCAGATGCATCCTTATTAACCCTCGAGCATGATTAACGTTGCCACAAGTGTCTGTAACCATGACAACAAAAACGATTTAACTTTGCATGTTTGGTTTTTCTGTGTGGATATCAACGCATTTATTCACTGTAAAATCCGGTGTATAAGACGCAGCCCATACCAGCGTGAAATGCTGACACATGCATCGCCATTACCGAGAGTGAAGCCGCCATCGTCACACACTGCACGCCACCTGACGCCATCAGAAATTCATCCCCATTCATAGTGTGTTGAAAGTGATTGGAAACAGTCTTTTCTCTCTCTTTATGGCATCATTATTAATTTAAAGCAATCGGTGCTAAACTGTGGCGTGCTGGTTTTATTGAAAGTCCCGTCTAAATTTTAACAAGTGACCAGCGGAGGTCAGCAGCACGACTCACGGTCTGAAGGTACTTCAGAACTTTCACGTTAGACTGAGAGCTCAGCTAACATACTGCAGCTAGCAGGCGTGCAAACTCGCGTCTTGTATACGTCTTGTATACCGGCGCACTGATATTCAGGATTTTAGGATATTTCTTGTTTTCTGTTAGGAAAAGTCTGATTTTAAAATAGAGTTTAAAACAAAGAGAAGTGAATGCATGTTTACTTGCAGTGAAGCAAAGGGAGGAATAAACATCTTTCTGTGTAAATCTGTATCTCACATGTTTTATTAATGAAAAGTGTTGAAACATTTAAAAAGCAGATGGTCGTCCTGCTGAAACACAGATATTATCACCAGAGTAATAATCAGAGTATTCCACTGAGTGGCTGATAATACGGTCCTGGTCAGTGATGAGCTCAGCCTGCGCCGTGAATGGTTAATAATGAAGTCAGTAAATTATCTCCAGGTCGATGTGGTAACCTGTTTTCCAGCCTTGTTGTTCTGTGTGTCGACCTCCTCTCCTGTGTTTGTCTGCAGCTGAAAACAAACCCATCTGGATGCACGCGGAGGAGAGAGAGGAGAGCAAGGTGAGGCCGAGCTAATACTGAAAAAAATAAATGAAATGTGTCAAAATCATGCCGTGACATAAAGAAACAAAGTCTGTTTATGAAATATTATTAGAGCGTTGTCCTTCACACTCGCTATGAGCCCCAGGAGGCATATTCTAGTTTTATGTAAACAAAGACAAATGCAGCCGATCCGGTTCTAACCATCACTCCCTCTTCACTCTCTTTTTTTCCTCTTCTCTATGATTTACTTCCAGGGCAAGCACAGAGACAACACCCCGTACGGAGAGTACGGAGGCTGGTACAAGGCCTGCAAAGTCAACAGGTGAGGCGGAGTGAGGCGGAGCGAGGCGGAGCGATCAATGAAAACGCTCCGAGTAGAGGCCAGAGTTGTTTAGTTAAAGGAGCAATATGTAACATCTGACACCTAGTGTTTCAAACGGGTTACTGCAGTCCAAAATCACAAACATTACAGAGAGCTGAGGTGAAACACTTGTTTGTTCGTCTGAGTTTGCAGCTACAGGCGACAGCACGCTGTTAGGTTAGCAGTTAGCTGTAACCACCAGCTGATACCTGCGTGATGAACACAGACACGGTGAGATGATATGGAGAAAAGTCAAAGCAGTGTTTGAGCCAAAGTCACCACACACACTGAAATATCAACACTTCTGCAAGAAGAAAATATATATAAGTAGAATGAACTTCCTTCCTGTATAAATGTCCCAAAGCGTGCAGTGTTGGGTTGGCGTTAAAGGGGGCGGGGTGATCTGAATGGATTACAGATCAGCTGTGATCGGACACATTTTTATACATCCTTATTTGCATTTGTCTTGCAGTATAGTCTGTATGTGTTAACGCCTGTTTCTGTGCCCAGCCCAACAGTGAACACCACCCTGAGGAACCTGGGGGCGCTGTACCGCCGACAGGGCAAGCTGGAGGCGGCTGAGACCCTGGAAGAGTGCGCCGTCAGGTCCCGCAAGCAGGTCAGCAGCTTTTCCTGAACTTCAGATTTCAGTTTGTGCATGCAGATGACTTCTTACTTCCTGTTTTTTGTTATTCTTAAAATTAAGACAGTAACTCTCATGATATTTTTTTCCCTTTCTCTACATTGCTTTGGATCCAGAGCAACACAGTAAGTGGTTTGTCTCTAACTGATCGCCCTCATAGAGCCTCCCTCCTTTAACACCACCTCCATCTCACACTCATGTTAGACGTCCGCTTGTCTCTGTGACGCCTCATCAAAGAGACAGAAGACTTCCCTTTAATTCCTCCATTTAACTTTGCACCCCCGCTCATACCAACAACATTAAGTCCCCTCCTCTCTAGTTCTGTTGTTGATCTCTCTGCGTGTGTGTTTGTGTGTGTGCACCTGTGTGTTGTTCCCCCTCAGGGCATCGACCCCATCCACGGGACGCGTGTGGTGGAGATCCTGAAGGACACGGATGGGGACAGGCGGAGGAGCAGGGACAGCCTGTCCAGCGTTAAGTACGAGAGCGGCTCTGAAACTGGCGAGGAAGTGAGTATGGGCGTGGAGTGGAACGGGGTGAGTACAGATCCACTACAGTCAAGTCCAAACTGACAGTGACCTCACAGGGAGAACAAGGCAGTGTTATTAAAGCCACAGAGCGGGTGGACCGGTACAGAGAATCACACAAAAAAAAAGACTTAATTTTCTGCTTTGAGGTGACGAGTGATAAAGAGGAAAAGGGGTTTATTATCGGTTGTCAGCACGGCTCCTGTGTGGAGAAAATAAAGAAACTAACACAGAGGTAAACTATGTAGCGTTAGTTTGAAGCAAAGCATTCTTTGGCCAATTAAAAAAATAATTGAAAACTGCCATGAAACCACCGTGCTGAGCTGAAGATCAGAGTTGTGTTCAGGAAGTGGTTTGGCACTCTAAACTGAAATCAAACATCACATCTCTATGGATTTCACAAACGTTGCACATGTGTGTTTTCTCATATTCCACCAAGTCTGTTCTAGCCAGTACCTCATCTGAAACCAGTTCTTTGGGTTTCAACCTGCCAAAGAGAACAGAAAAAAAAACGGTTCCACAGTAGCACCATGTCCTTACTGGTCTACGAGAACAAAAAGCTTGATGCATGCAGTCGTTATTTTTCTGCAGAGTACTTTGCAAAACCGATCGTAAAGTTTAGGAAAGATGACGTTTAATAAAAGATAAATAAAACAACACATTGACGAGACACAGACGTTCTCCATGTTGCTCTGTCAGCTGATCAAAGTGTCTTCTTTCAGACATAAACAGCTGATTAGAAATTAGAAATATGCAAACATAGAGCCAACACTCTTTGAAGGGGTTAAACTAAATGTTGCTCCAAACCCCGACCACAAAGGTACACAGCTTAGCTTCTGTGTCGTTCCTCCGACCGGCTTCACTAAATGACCTCCGTTTCATTAAGAGCTTCATTAAACACCACTTTAAATCATCCTGATTATTCCTTAAAGTAGCAGGAAGTTCACTACTCGGCCTGCTTCAGCTAAACGTTTGGAGTTAGTGAGAGCGCCCTCTCTCTTCACTGAGTTCAACTGCACAACAGAATCCTAGAAAAGAAAAGAAGCAGTCTTTCCTTGATAAGATGTCAGTGTTGCACACGCTCATAAACTGCATATGCACCACATGAATCTGGAACCAAAGTTCGGTTTTGCAAGTGCAAACTCTCTGTACTCGTCCATCTCTCTGCTGGAGACGTTCTTTGTTCTTCTCATGAGGTTCACATGAAAATCTCCTTTTTGTACAAAGTGTAAAGCTGATTGAGTGTCCTGGCATGCAGACGTGTTATTGTTGTTGTTTTGACGCCGGCTGAGTCTCTGTGGTGATCCGTGTTTTAATGTGTTTGTTGTTCATTGCTTGACAATGAATTCCTCGCGTCTTGTTTTTTTTTTTTAACAAGCCGTTGTTTTGCTGGGAACAGAAAGGCTCAGGCTCCCTCTGTGGCACCCTGGAAACATGTTAAATATTTATCAGCCTCTCTGAGACTCGCAGAGATACCAGCCCGGTGTAATTCTCTTTCAGGATGTGTCATGTTTTCACCATTAAACACAAAAGACGTGTTTCCTAATTTCTCCACCGTGCAGTTAAACTGTACGATTGATGTGTAACGGCTCATCCTGCTGTTTTACTGCCTCATTATAGCGTCCTCTCTGGCTGTTTCCACAGTCGATACTGTCGCTTCTCTGCAGTCCTGCACTGTGTCTCTATTTAAAATGTCGGCGCTCTCCTCATTATTACAGAGGTCGGTGTGTTCAGTTAAACAGACACAGCTAGAAGCCCTCTGGTGTAGCTTCACCAGAGGGCAGCAGGGTGCCAGCAGAGAAGCCTCGTCTGAGCCTGAGCCTTTCCCCCTCCATCCTCGCTCCCGTGCAGCCACGCCCTCCACCGCACCCACCCAGTCCACACATGCATGTAACCCTGCCAGCCTTAACGTGCACACTAATGGACCACGTGTGTCACTACATGTTTGAGAAATGTCTGTTAACCTGACGTCTGCTGCTCTCTCTGAGTAACATGAAGTAGAACGACGGGCGGGGTGTTTGTTTGTTGGCTGCTGTGTGAATGTGAATGCTCTTCGTACACACATGTTCATAACACAGCTTCTTCAAACTGCTTCATTTTACACTCCAGCAAATGTTCGGCACGCGTATTCACCAGAGTGTGCACCTGCTTGTTTTTGAAACATTTGATGGCATGAGGACGACCTCGGAAGCGTTTTGCATTCACATGAGGAAATACAAATCTGCTTCTGAGTGACGAGGTGCAGCGTCTCTCGGCTGAACAACTTCAGTGTTTCAGGTCGTCACAGTCTCAAAGTTTTCTATCAGCTGCTCGTCTCATATTTGGATAGACTGAAATCATTCTGACTTCAAATCAAAGGACAGCCGAGTGAAAATAATCAACTTTGTTTTGATGTGTAAATCCGTCTCTCTGCTCTCAATCTGCTGCTTGTCGTACGTCGGCCATGTTGGCTGCTTCACTTTCATCCACCACGTTGGCTCTGAGTTCTCACTGTTGCTCACAGTTATCCCATTCACAAGACGCCTCTTCTCCACCAGTTTCCCTCGACGTCTCTGTTTCACTGTGATGGATCTTTCACTCAGTTTCAGGAAGTCTGTCACGTTTGATGCACACGGACGTAGACTTAAAAAAAAAAAACATCTTTTCTACGAGTAATCGGTCATAGAGTGAGGTCGAAAGTCGTCATTAAAAGAGACATGCTGTTACTAAAAATAAAGATCATTATAAACCCTCTTCAACTGATTAAATCCAAAGTGATGAGTCTCTTTTGAAAATGTCAGGAGTGGAAAGAAATTATATTTGTGTGAAAGTGTCAAAGGTCAAAGTTCTGATACGTGTGAAGGTGAGCTCTGCAGAGTCATCACGTCGTTTTTGCATGCTTGTAAGATACTCATCGAATGTGTGTGTCAGTGATCCTGTGGTTTGGTTCAGGTTGGACAGTAGGTGTGTGTGTGTTTAAACAGCATGCTTCGACCCAATGTGTGTGTCTGTGTGTGTGTCGTGCTTTGTGCTCGGGTGTGCTGCCTCTTAGTTTGCACGGTTTCCTCCTTCGTTGCTTTCTGCTTCCTTGTGTGTCACTAACCTGTTGTCAACTAATCGTTGATTACTTTGCCATGACAACCAATCAGCCTGTCAATCAAATTTCCCTCTCTCGCTCAGTGGATTGTACTCTCTCTCTCTCTCTCTCTGTTTCTTCAGCTCTCAGTTCAGACAGTCAGTGGGGGGGGGGGGGGTTGGTTTAAAGTGACGTAGATAACATGCAGGGTGAGAAGAGGCGAGGGTACAGAAGATGTTTTACTTATTATCAGGATGTTTTATTAAACCGATCTCAGCTTTATAAGAACAACAATTTCTTTTAGTGCACTTTTCAAAACTCAAGTGACAGCGTCCTCCACGGAAACAGAGGACATTTAAAGAGCTTTGACCGACAAAGAAAAGGCAGGAAGTCAGGAAGATAACAGAACAAACATTTCAACAGTCGAGAGCGTTTAGAAAACTCCACAGAGAGGAAACGCAAACGCAGAAGTTAAACGAGAGTAAATGCAAATAAAGGAAAAAATAAACGTGATAAAATACATGAAATAAATTAAAGCTCATATGTATAGATGTGTTGCAGGAGTTTTGAATTAATTAAAATGTAGATGCTGATGTAGAAAGTTTTTTTTTATTCGATACGGCAGCTTTCAAAACAGAACCATCTCTTCTTATTTTCATAATGGACAGAATCAAAGGTTAACTCCTGCACGCAGTCTAACCTGCTGACAAACATTTATTGGCAATGCTTCGGTACTAGACCTTCATCAGGCAAACAGTTCGTAAAAATAGGCAGGACATCTTAAATTCCTGTAACCAATCATTAAGACGTCAGCCCTGAATCATCAGATTAATAAACATCAGCTTCCTGGTTGAGAGGACAAACCAAAAATTCTAATAAGAAAATGGTGAAAGCCTGAGAGGCGACTCTGAACGACCTCTTACTTCATCATCCTCGGTTCAACGGACACTTAAGATCCCAAAGAAGTTTATTTGTTTACGTCTCATGAAACAACATCTGTTTCATAAGACAGATGTGCCGTAGAGAATCCATCAAATCCTGAATGTAAACTCCTGCACACATTCTACAGATTCATCGGCTACACTAACATGTTTAGGAGTTCAGATGGTGTGCAGGAGATTACCTGCAACGTTTGGTGGTTTTAATATTGTTAATATTGTTGCTGTTAAAGTTAAAAACTCTGGTCTCGTTCATGTCAACACCTCATCATCACACTTTGTCGGTGTCAGGACGCAGCTTTCAGAGATGCTGATGTTTGCAGATGTCTCTGGTCTGCAGTGCACAGTCATCGCTGGGCTGCAGCGTGCCAGCTTCAGAGTTTCTGGTACCCAAAGAGGAAACAGCTGAGTCACAGTGACGATCTCCTCTGCACCACTGACCTGCTCGTCTCCGTGCAGAAACTCAGAAACACTGCAGCTGCACTTTCACAAAGTTTCTGATCCACGCAGCTCGACTTAAATTCATCCGTTTAGAACCTTTATGTAAACGTGCAAAACTTAAAGTGCTTCAGGTACGAATGATTAAATCAAAACAGGAAACGGACAACAAAGACTTTCAAACTTCAAAGATGGAGCTCCAAGACTCGAGGAAGTTCTTTATGTCACACGCTCATACAGACGGGCAGAGACGTGCAATAAAAACAACAACAGCATAAAAGCTCATCAAGCAATAAAGAAAGATCTTCAAATGTTTAGATCCAGATTCTTTATCGTCCTACAGAAGACAAGAAACACAAGGACAACATCACCGTAAAATCAGAATCGCGATAAAACAACAATAACAACCCCGACTCCTCCTTTTAAAATAACTTAATATAATATTAAACATGTTTGATATTTCTGAGAACACACACTTTGCTCCAATCAGGCAACGCCCCCAATCGTTGGTGTGTAACCAGCCTGAGCTGTAAATATGTGTCTTCAGTTTGAAGTTCTTTAAGAACCAGATTCTCTCC